GATAATTGTATTGTCTAACGAAAAAACAACCCTGAATATTTCCCATTAAAACCCTCTGTGTTCCGACCTGAAGTTGAGGAGCGTCGGCGTCTACATCCGATCTTCGCCTGTGACCATTGACGAAGGAGTTGCCTCTCTTTCCTTCTTTATCGGCTCAGCGTCGCAACCAATTTGATTGATTAGGTTTTTCTTCATCATCTATTGCCACTGATATATAGTCTCAAGCTACGTATTTACTGCTGCACTTTGAGTCTTATTAACTGAGAATACATGAATTTTGTTGTTCCATTTTTATGCCGGATAAGTTCCATTTCAGGAAAAAGCGGCGGCATTCTAGAAAGTCAAAACCTTTTCATTTCCTATGCACGATTTCACTGCCTTTTCTTTTCCTTGCTTCAAGAACTTAAATTTGATGGTTCTTATACAAAGTATATATGATTCCAGTCGATGCGTCTCAATTTCACATAAGCGGATCCCTGGATGATCCCAACTCACAATACAAGAAAACCCATTGTTTAATGATGTATCTCTCTTCCATGACTTTGTGTGTAAATTTTCTCACGCTTATAGAATGTTTAAGAATGTATGTTGTGTATCTGTATGTGTTTGCAATGAACATAGTAAAGAAAAAGATGAGTTTCTGAAGTGTTCCTTTCGGCGTGTAATGACATATTGTATGAATATCACTTGGAATGAATCTATGAACTCATATATTTCTTGGATGTGTGAGGATATGATATCTTGTGGTCTAAACTGCAACTTTTGCTTTCACACAGAATTGAATGGGGACTTGTTAAGTTGTTACAAATTGGTTGACAATGAATTGGAACAAAAATTTGCAGCGTGTCACTCGGTTGCCCAAAGTCATTAGAGCTATAACCAAAGGCAGTTCACCCAACAATCAACAAAATGCTGTTCTTGCTGATAAGTTCCTGTCGTTCAAGAAAGCTGGTTTGGCTAAAGGGGATATTGCTCTTGGTGAAAATTTGGTTTCAGAAAGAAAATTGTATTGGAGGTCGTATGGGCTCTATGTTTCTGGAGCAAGTTCATGTTGGCCAAAAAAAGATCCTGTGAACTTACCTTGGAATTTTGAGCATGCAATACACAATGATTCCAACTTGAATAGAGATTTTCTAGTACAGCTGTGGGTTGCAGATGGTAAAATGAAAAAGACCCTTGAAAGAAGAAAACAAAATTTTGTTGAGCATACAAGCAAAGACAAAGCAATTTTTGGTAGTAAACGTTTAGTCGGAAGTTACTTTTCTGGTGGCTCTATAACCACAAATGGACCTTATGATTCCAGACAATCTGCCACAGAGCCTCTAGAGTCTGCATCCCCGGAAGAGGTGAGTTAAAAGGAATTTAAGTATCATGGTTAAGGTATTCCTTTACAAAATTTTCCAATTAAGTTCTGATAAAAATTTATTCTCTACTAAGATAAGGACAGAAATGCATAATTTAGGAATGCCTTAAGCTCAGGACAGTTCACATGATGAGTCCAAGGAAACAATTGTACTTTATGCTCACAACTCTTGTCACAATACAACCCCTCAATAGGATTTACAATCAATATAAAAGTTGGCACTGAACTTTGTAATTGGGGATGTTGTTACTAGAAATACCATCCCTGACTTGTCTCATGGTGGAGATAAAGTTCAGTAATATGTCCAATCATTGAATTTTAATGTGTTTTGTGCATATATTTCATTTTGGGATGAGCGGGACATGTAGCATGAAGTGAAGCAACGAGAACGGGAGAGGGTGAAATAATGCTCTGCACCAAAAATCATTTATTAGTCTCAAACAATAAGAGATAGAAGAGAGAATATAATGTAGTATAATAGGGGGAAAAGTAAACAGTGTTTAAGAATGATTTACCAACTGAAATAGTAAGGAATGTTTATGACTTATGAGTTCATTTTATGTTTTAAAAGATGAGAAAAACTGGAAGCTGCTGATAATCTCTGAATTATGTTGTCGTAACCATAATTGATTGTAATCTAATGAAGAAAAAAGGGTGTTCACTTGTTGATTCCTTCCAGGCTTGGATCGCGCCTCTTCTTTCAAGATCTAATCTGCTTATTACTAGAGACATAGAATGGGCTAATCTCACACTTGGCTTTGAACAGGTAAAATCTGAGACCCTCCTATCACCGGTGATTCAAAGTTGAAACACATTTTGCCTGTTTGTTATTTTCACTTTATTTTCGTCGATTAACACTTTCTATGTCAAAAAAGGGCTCTGTTATATTATTCTACTTTTTTGTTACTATTGGGATATCAATGAGAATGTTACTCGTTGGCTAAAAGCAGGCTGGGTTAAATAACCACAAGCTCGAAAGGCTTATGTGACCAGAGAGTCGTGTTGAACGTTTGTGATTTGGCATTGTTGCTCCATTTGTCTTCTCCCACTTAACTTGTCCACTTGCTTGAGTTCGTTGTCGAGAATTGATGTTTTGTGATTTTCTATTTCTTTTCTGCATTTTATCAGATCTGTTATCAAATGAAATAGTTATTTTGCATCTGTTTTTTATAGTACTCTTGGCAATCTTTCCCTCCTTGAATAGGCTCCCATATGTATTTACAATGTACAATATTTTTTTGGATTATAGGAGAACAGATATGCAATTGTTGATGTCAGCAACCCACATGAGGTATGTTTTATATCCATTTTTGTCTTTAAACCTTGATGCATGTAAAATAAACTTAAGTTCATGTATTTTATTTTCCTTTCAGCCGGCAGGTTTCATTCGTGAGCAGAGCAATGTCATTTTCAGACAGGTACATCAAGTTATCAAGATACACAGTTTTAATTTTCCATCCAGGGCCTGCTTCCAATATTTGGAAGTTACTAGAGCATGGGTTGGGGACTTCACTCTACTTACTTTATTAGAGAAACATAGGATTCTTCATCATGTTAGCTTGCCTCAGCTTTTCTTTCTTATATACCTACTCAGTATGAATGAACACCTAAGCCTCCTCATTTACTGATTGGCTAAATACAAAGAGATATCAAAATTAGATCATAGGGGTCTTGTTACTCTGCCGTCCTCTTCCCCTACTTTTCATTGAACTTTTTCAATTTAATATTGTTAAATTTAGTTGGGGATTGTCTTCCAAATACTAACATAATATCTGCAAACAATTGGGTATCAGACTTGGGTCTATTAGGATCTTAATTCCAATGTTGTCATTTGATATTTAAAAGTGTAATGTGTAATTAAGTTGGTGCTTAAATTTCACTAATTACAAAAATGGAACAAAAAAGAAGGAAAAGACAAGGCAGACAGACAAGTTGCAGCAGTGAGTTTTATAAGCCAAACACATATGCATTTTCTCTGTTTCCTATGTCTTGTGCTCTATACTTTTGGGGATTGCTAACTTATATGTAATTTGGCTGGCTTTTGCCGGACCAAAGTGTTATTGGTGATTGGACCTACCCAAAAGGTCAGTAAATAGTAGATGATACAAGTTGAGGTGCCATCTTGTGAGCACAATAGGTATTATATGAAGACAAATGGTCATCGTTAAGTTGATTATGCAAGTTGCAATTTTATGTTATATAGTCATCCAGAGGTTATTTTATGTTGTTCAACAAGTTGCAGTAAACTTGGTGTAGTATCCACACCTCTGAGGTTTAGGAATCTAAAACTTTGCTTAGATTGTATTTTGTTTGTAAACCAGGGATTCTTTTATGTTATTTTTTGGCTCATCCAAATATGATCATTTGACGTTTCTCGTACTGCCTTTCCAGTTGCTTCGTTCAAGACGGCCGTTTGTTGCTTCTATAACTGATGGCAACGGAAACGAGCTGTTTAGGGTAACACTTCTGGACATATATTTGCTTAGCTATGTTGTATGATTTTATCGGCATTACTGCCTTGATGATTAATGTACTGCACCTCCACTGCGTACTTGTAGGTTCGAAGGCCCTTTTGGTGGATAACCAGCTCAATCTATGCAGAAATAGGTGGAAAGGTATGCCAAATCAACATATATATATATATATATATATATATATTGAGATACAATTTTAGTTGTATGTAAAACTTGTTGAATTGTTATAGTACTTGATTGCCAACTTTAAATTCTCCAGGAAATTGGGGTGGTTCATAGAAGATGGCATCTCTGGAGGAGGATTTACGACTTGTACCTGGGGTAAAGTTATTTGCTTGGGGCTATATTATAAGCCTTTTGGTATCTATCTTGAAAATAATTTGGTCTCTTTGCAGCGATGAGCAGTTTGCGGTGGTTGAAAATCCTGGCCTTTGGAACTGGACATTTACTTTGAAGGGCATTAACGGTGAGGTCCTGGCTGAGATAGACCGTGACTGGAGAGGTTTTGGTTTTGAGGTCATCTTCTTATCTTTGATTAACTCAGATTATTGTTCCTTAAAATTGAGAGAATCCATATGTCCGACCCTCTGTTACTTTAGCGAGTATATAGGTTGTTCCTCTTTGTTTTCCAGATACATGCTAGACGTGGTCAACGCTATAATTCTCATTTTTTAGTAGTTCAATCGGGCAACTCTCTTTTTTAAGTTCTATGTGCTATATAATAGTGCACAACTACCAAGTGGCAAGATGAACCAATAAGCCCTGATGTCGTCATGTGTTTCAGGAGACATGTTTCATCAACGTTAATGAGTTTCACAAATATCAATTTAATTCGAATCTTGTACTTCATCTCAAAACCTAATAATTATGGTATGGTGTTTGTGTGGTGGTGATGATGGGGTTGGGTGGTCAGTCTTGAGAGGTTCTTGAGGGTCAGTCAGCAAATCAGAGGATTAAATCTTTACCCTGGTTTCACACAGTGAGTAGTCTTGCTGGTTCAAAGCATGAAATGGCTGAAACTTGTTTAATGCAGGTCCTCACTGATGCTGGTCAATATGTAATCCGATTTGATCATGACCGCATGCCAGGCCTGTCTGAAAAGGTATGGGTATATTCATTCACTTGGGCAATTTTTATTTTATCTGTGTATTATTGTGAACTATTGAGGCATTATAGGTTCAAGAATTCCACGTAGCGCGTCCACTGACGTTATCAGAGCGGGCGGTTACTGTTGCACTGGCTGTGTCTTTGGACAATGACTATTTTTCGAGACACGGAGGCTGGTAAAATATGTTCTGTTTTCTCAGTAGTGAAGACAAAAGGGTTGGCTTTTCTGACAAATCTTGAATAATTGTATTGGCAGGGGACTTCCTTTCATTGCAGTTGCTGAATGAAGTAAGTTGATATCAAAGGATCATCATACAGGATTTGCAGTTAATGCTCATACAGAAAAGTTTTGGCTTTGCTGAATGGGATCATCATACAGGATTTGCAGTCAATTGTTTCAATAAAAGTCATAAAACAATCATTTTGTGTATGTATGGTTTTTTAAGATTTTTGCCTCAGATTTCCTTCTTGTCCTGTCTTATACTTGTCTACGAAAATTAAATAAAGAGATTTACATTTTTATAATATTAAACATTTTAATAAATAATAAATGTTGAAATATCTAAATATTTCTTTTTAAGATTGTGATTTGTATTTCTACGAAATTATGAATAAAATTGTTATTGGTGTAGAATCGTACCCACCTTACATACGTTTACCAAGCACGCACTTATCAAGTCATATTACCTCACCAGATGAGTATGGTAACGACCAAGAATTTTAGCCGGTAAAAGCGAGACAAAGACGAAGAGTCTTATCCGGTAAACGGTAAACGCTTACAGAATAAATTGTTACATATGATGTCATTTTCGTGGCCTAAAATCTTAATAAGTAAATGATTGTGTTAAATTTTACTGATAAACACTTGTCAGGTAAGTATATGGTAAACGGCCCCTTAGTGTTTAATATACTGTGGTGAACGAAGAGAATACATATGATATAAAAGAAAGAAACAAGATTTGAGTGTGAAGTTTATAAAGAATATTCTGCAAAACTTTGTTGGTAGTATACATGAAACCTATTTAGATTTAGAAACCCCAATACCTCAATTTACAAATCTCAAAAACACTAGATTAGAGTCTTCTACTACTACTACTACTACTCTACACCCACCCACCCAATCAATCCATGATATGATATGATGATTTCCTCCAATAATATGATGCCCCTTTTTCATAGTAATAATTAAATTCATTAATAAATAACACACCATGATTTATGAGTCAACCATCTCATCTTGTATTTCATTGGGTGCAATTAGTCCAGGAATGCTAAGCATCCGCTGTCTCTCTCTCTCTTTCTCAGCAGCAGCTTCTTCTGCATACAGATCCTTGTTATCCTGCAATGCTCAACCACCACCATATAAACAGCTAAACTAGCAGACGTTTATTAATTCATATTTCGTTTAGACAAATCGCAACTTACCTGCGCTGAAAATTCTTTAGATTGCACCAGAAAGTCCCTTATGTGGTTCTTGAATATAGAAAGGTCCGCTCTCGACTCAAACAGTCCGTTAACAAATTTCGTTACCTGATATGATGCTCTGAATCAATGAATATGAATGAATGCCTAGCAAAAACCAAAACAAAATTCAAAATTCAAGTTACCTCCGATGCTGGAATATTGGGAAAAGAGCCAGACAGAAGCTTGATGGTGCACTCCCGAACAAATACTCCATTATTAGGATAAGGATACGGAACAGTGGATGCATCCCATAAAGGCTCCGTCAATGAACCCGACTCCACCTGAAAATAGTCGCTATATATAAATATGCAGACATAGAAAATGAGGGAGATACAAGCCAGGCTCTTGAGAAAATACCAGGCAGAATAAGTGCTGCAGTACTAAAACATGCAACTTGAAACCAGGTTTATGGAACGTGTCAGTCAAAACAGCGAATATTTCTTGCACAATCAGCACGAAGTAAGACCGGTAGAATTGATTACAGAACTCGGAACCCTGCCACATGAGAAATGAGGATTTAAAAATATGTATATATATACACAAATACAACCTGTTTAAGATCCAAAAGATCCTCAGATATCAACCTGAAAGTTCTTGAGCATCTCTAACAACAGATTAAGCCCAGTTTCAGCAATGTTTCTTTCAGTGTGTCGGAAAGCCCACATGACAGAATCCATAACAAGCTTTAATTGCTGATACATAAAGGAATATGTCAAAATTAGAATTAGAATATGGACACAAGCCTACAACATCCAAAATATTGTTCCAAACAAGCAGTTATACTTTTATAGTTGCATCGAATCAAATTACGAGTACCAAAACAAGTAAAGAGAAGGATTAATTGGATAACAAAATTCCAAGACAGACCTCAGGTGACAACAAGATTAAAGCTCTGAAACAATGTGTGGCTATGGCCCGAAGTAATGAAAAAAACTTGAGCCGGTGTTCAGGGTAGTCTTCAAAATTCTTAGTTATCATCTGTACCATGAAAACAGCTATGTCAAATATGACAAAAAGATAAAATACAGGGCCTTGTAAGTAAACTGCCTCCCTAGGGCATCCGTTAATGACCAAGTAAGATCCTTGAAACAAAACGTTCTAACCTCCAGGGTGCACTGGAAAACAGCTTCAAATATACGTGGAACATCAACTATCATTGCACCCTTGTACCTACATTTGAGGCAAAAAAAAGTAGAATAAAATAAGAAGAGTGGAAGAGAAAAGCACTTGTGAATTGCCATCAAGCATTTAAGCTTGGCGATAGTTGCCCCATCCCCTAATTGGTTATCCCTCAAGTTATCGGTTCAAATCCCCCTTCCATCTGCTATCGCTAACAGAAAAGAGAGACAAACATGCAAATACTATATAATAGCTGTGTCACAAGACTGATCAGATGAGGCAAACTATGAATGTTGCCAACCAAGAACATACTTGTTAATAATTGTGGCGAAAAGAGACAAAACTTCTGATTCTCGAGCATCAGGCAAATTCCGAGCATAATCAGCAAGCACTGGATCCATCATTGGGGGCACAAACTGCCTTCCTATTTGTGGTTGATCTTCAGCCTTATCTAGAAAAGTCTCAATGAGCTTTAACGTTTCCTTCTTCACAGACCTGTTGAGATAAACAGATTCATAAGTACGGGGATTCAACATGTTAACCCAATATTTTGTCAATAGTGTACCTCAGAAGTTTCACATAGGAAGTCCTAGAAGTGTAGGGGCCCCCTTCAGCAATTCTGGATGATATAAGCTCACTGTACATTCTGTAAGACATTAAAATTTTGGGAGACGAGTATTAGCCATATGACAAACAAACAGATAGATGTGTCAAGAGCATACGGTCTGATCTTTAAAAAAATGATCCTATCGCTAATCAGATTGTGGAACATACTTGTAGACATTAAGCATGTCCAAAAAGATGAGGGTTATTTGAGATAAAAAATGTGTTCCGAGTGCACTGGCAGCACTTGTATTTGTCTGCACACAACAAAGATTGCATTAATACCAAACAGCAAACAAGAACAAACACTACAAAAAATTACAGAAATCTCATCACGGGTATGACTTTCAGTTCATATATTTAGATGCTCAAACACCTTGTGTACCACAGGAAGAAAATGAAAACAAAAAGAAACAAATGATCACAAGGTCTACATCTGTTGTACATCATCTATCAAAAAAAAAAAAAAAAACATTACAAAAGATAGTAAACCAAGTGCTGAACCAAACAGATTCTAGGTGATCAAGTTAACAACAAAATATTAACACATTGTACGATCACCAACTACATTATCCCTATAATCAGGACTTAACCACAAGCTAAAAAAACAAAACTTAAGGCTGACCGATACTCGGTCATTCACTAAATTGCAACATTCATACAAAGTCTACTTATCACATGCTAGATAAATGCTTTCCATCTTGTTTTATAGATATTTCTTCAACTATACTTTGCTTCTCTTTAATCAGAGCCATTAAGCAACAAACCAACAAAAGAGAAACATACAAGCCCCTCTAAGGTCTACATCTCCCAACACCGTGTAAGGGGCTGTTTGGAAGCGACTTAATAGAAAGTCTGGCTTATTCAGCAAGCCATACATGACTTTTAAGACGGCTTATTAACTCGGCCAATCCGGGAAAGCTTAATTCTGACAGCCATCTATTTTCCAACACTGCCCTTCTCAAAACAACGCTCCTGAAACGATTGAAGTACTCTCCCTGGAAATGATCCTCGTTGTGGACGACCCCTGACTCCAGAACTCCTTGATGCCTCTCCGCCGCTCCTCCCTCCTCTCTGCTCAAAGAATGGAGAGAAGGGAAGTACAATAACCAGAAAGATGGACAGTAAAGATCGAAGAGAAGAAAGAGTTGGTGAAGGAACTTACAGAAGATTTTAGGGATAAATGCACAGAGGCGGAGGAATTGATGAAACGAACACAGGGATTTAAGCAAAATCAGGAGGGTAGATTAACAGTGGGAGATGGAACACTAGTTCTTCCAGTTGTAAGGTGCCCGTTGAGATCCCTAAAATGGAACTCTAGTTCTAGTGGTGTTTTAAATGGTAAAGCAGCTTCAAAGTTGTTAAAAGCAATAGTGGTGGGGTTGTTTAAATGAAGCTATGCCCGTTACATAGGGAAGGGTACTTTCGGATCTTCAATTGGAAATAAGTTCAAAATTCATACGCCAATTTGATCAGAAGATAAAAGAACCAAAACACAGACAGTAAAGGTTAAAATGGTCATCTCTGACACTCAGACAGTTTATTCAGCACGACAAACAAACAACATATTAGCTAATCCATACAGACAGCTGAATCCATGTAGGGCTTAAATCTTAATGAAAAAACAATTGAACAGCCCCTAAGTCCATTGAGCTAACTTCAACTACTGTCATGCAAAAAAATTAGAATAACATGAAAGGTCAACACCTGACTAGGATTGCCAATGAGTACCAAAGAAAATCACATGGTTAGTATGGGTGCAAACCTGCAATATATTAAGCACAGTCCTAATCACATCTTGATCCTTTAAAAAATCCACACTACCACGTGCACGTCCTATAATCTCGGTCCATTTCTGCAAAAGAAAGAACTCGTCAATCGTCATATGACACAATATTCAGGTTCTGCTCAGAACCTAGGAGTCCATAACAAAAGACATCCTTCTACAAGAATCCTGCCTGATTGGGAAGATCCATCAGCCTCTGCAAATATTCCTCCCGTTTTGATATCTCAGATTCTGCTTGAATCATATAACCAACCTACCAAAAAAATATTGCAACAAAATGTGGTAAACTATAAATAAAACTTTGGCAGATAGACCTTTGATAATACTAAAATGTTCATTGCTATCAAGTAATTAGACCTACAGATTCATAAAATGTATGTATCTGATGAGGCTCAAGGTCTTGAATGGTTGTAGGGAGGCTGGTAAGCAATTCCGAGACAAATGGCTCACTCTCTCCAACCTAGAACAACAAAAATTTACATCATCTATATCATCTTGTGTATCTAAGCTGATAGAATAGTATCAAATAATTAAGAAAACAATAAATAGATCAAAGCATATATTACCTGCACTATGACGAACTTGCGCTTGCATTTCTGTACAATTTTCAAAAATGTGTCGCAAGCCATATCCTGAAGGGATCAGAACTCAAAATTAAATCATGGTTGGAACAAATGGGAATTAGAAAACCCAAGGAGAATTCTGTCATGGTAACACTAAATACGCATGTGTTCATTGGAAGGTCCTAGATCCAAGTTCAACAAGGTTTTCTTCAATACACTTGTCAAGCCAACATGATGTTTAGGTGAACAAAAGGTACACCTTAGGTGACCAACTTCCATCATATCTCATAGTTGAGACTGTCAGTAGAAAACTAGAATATTAAGGCAGCAGGAGTCATGGACAAGAATTATTTTTTAATGAACGGCAAATAGTTACATGTTGCAATACTTTACATCATTTCCCAATCACGAAGATTCATAGCTGGACAGCATCCTAAACAATAGAGCATTACAAACTCAAATCTACACGCTACATACTAGTGGATTTCAACACTTCAGAGCACCAGGTGCAGATCTAAATATAAAATCAAGCATGAAAGTTATATATTACCTGAACCCCAGGATGTGTTTCATGCATGAACTCAAACAACTTGTTTACAACAGTTTTCAAGAACTTCCAATGGGCTCTCAGAAATCTTGGATATTGTCCAACAACATACCTGGCAGTGCACCAAAAAATAGAAAGTTAAAGTTGGTTACATATATCCATCAACCGCTGCCACAAGGGTCACTGTGGCATGCAGTGAGCAGTTGCAAAGACTCTTTAAGTGTGTTGAGTTCGCGACACAACATTATTATTTTAAGTGCAATGGCTGACTGGTAGTAATTTGGGAACTAAGTAGAAAACACCAGACAAACATACATGATATTACTTGCAATAACAGCTTTGTTGTCCTTTCCTTTAGTAATTTCACAGAGATTTAGTAGATCACGAATAACCATCACGAGAAACCTATTCTCCTGCCAGAATTTCAATATAAAAGCATATATATGATATTATGACAATATAATGCACATGAGACAGGAAATATAAGATGTTAAGTCAAAGATTAAGAACCCAGGCATCTATTGTCCATGGGACACCACAACAACGTTTACCTGATCTTCCATCATGGACCCAGATATAGATCCTATTGCCCAGCATAGTGTGTTCAAGTTGTTCCATGTCCAATCCTCGCCATTCAGCTGCTTGCTTAGTTTCTTCAGCATCTGTTATTCTCGGGGATTGGAGATATAGAAAAAGGTTACAATATTGCATTTGAAAGACAAGCATGAATTCAAAGCAAAATACATGAAGTCAACAGTGAAGGTTTCATAAAAACAAAAAATAAGCGGGATAATTGAGTGAACCACCAAAAAGTATAAAACATAAGACCATGAACTACCAGATGCAACAATACACAATTGGGAACAATAGTGGTATGTGTAGAAAAACAGAAGTTCTGATTGAATTGTCAGTGGTCAACTGAATTCGTCATCAATCTCTCAATGCAAACAAGATATAAAATTTAGATGAAAAGAAACTCTAAGAAGCTCATCCAAACTGCAAATCAATTGCATGGGGAAGGGTTAAATTGTATCATTTTAGTCCTTCGGTGTACCATGTGTGTCGCCATTCCAAAGAGTTTGAACTTACATTACAACTATAATCATCTCAGTTCAACAAAAAGCAAGAACAAGAAACCAACAGAATGAAGTACAAATAAAGCAAGTAACAACAGAACATTCTGCCATTACTGACAAGACATAGTAACAGAATCTAACCATGTATGTACGCTCTCTTTGCACAATATAGGAACAATTTAAGTTCTCAAAAACCATACCTGCTTTTCAGTGTCATCATGATCAAGATGTGACAAGTAGATCAGTGTTTCTCTCATTATCTGCGACAATAACCTTCATTTAGCCATTGAAAACAACAAGAAAAGTCCAGGCTATGAACTAACAATTAAGGTTCACATAGATGGTGACCAGTGTCACACAACTTTATCTCATGAAATAGAAGCCATTATAGAAGCAGGTATCAGAAATTTATGTCACAACCTGCTATATACAAAATGGAAGGATCCTGGCATTCAGATACATCTGAAACTCCTCATATCTATGTGCACTAATGGTTTCTTTCTATATCTTTCCCATCTAATAAGCTGGAATATTACCTTATACTGAACAAGGACATCATTGTCTTTCAAGGTTTCGCGAACAATATTCCCATTTTCATCTTCAACAATTAAAACCTCTTCAGGTTTCGCCATGCGAGATACCATAAGCAGTCTTAGTTTTGACATCGATCCAGCATATAGTTGCCGTCTTTGTATCAGTTGTGTACCAAGACCATCAGCTATACCAGGAATCATTGGAATCTAGGTATAAAAACAGAAACAAGAGACAAAGTTCACAACATCCAAGATCAGTCTCAAAAGATACATCTACTTCATAGAGTAAAAACAGTTGGTTATATGCGTGATGGGCATATCAGAACATGAAAGGCAAAAAAACAGAAAAGAAAATGCTTACTGAAAAACAATACGAGAAAAGGGCATATCACTATATCAGCATATGCAGACTGACACAAACCCACACCAAAACTTCGGTTACAGAAAGGGAAGAAGAAGGCTTCGAGCAAAAACATGATGCAATAAGCAAAGCCGACATAACTCAAGAAACTACGGAAAAGCAACAGAAAATGACTTGTTAATGAGTGCAAGCACTCTACTTATATTAGTTTTCTACTTCTCTTTTATCACAGTTATCAGTCACAAATTCTGACAAGTACTTGTGCAACAAAAAGATATACCAACAAAACTAAACCAAACAAACCCAGTAAATCCCACAAAAAGATATACCTACCAATTATACAACTGGATGGAAGGCAACACAGACAAATGAAATGGCTGTGACGAACTAACGATGTACAAAGCAGAACAATTTGACATTGTCATTTTTTGCTTGACTTATGCCTGTAGTGAAGGCTAAAGAACACAAGTACATATGAAATCAAATAGTTAAGCACATAATAGTACAAGTGACATGAGGAAACATAATCTACCTGCAGTCCCATCATGTTTGCAGTTGCAGCAGGGCTATCAAGATTGTGGTTTGCCTCGAAAAGCTCTAACACCAAGGAATTCCAATAGTCCAAGCACACCTGTTCAAACACATTGATATAAAACATAATGTATCTCTTACAATAAAGCATCCATCTTATCACTTAACAAAAGAGCAGACCTTTCTTGATTGGAGGGGTCTCCCCCTTTATATCGAAAAAAGAAGACAGACCTTATTGCAGGCAATGAAAAATCTACACTCTTCTAATGCAATATTTTATGAAGTGGCCGCCAAACAGCACCATGAGCAGAAGATTTGATATTCCGTTTGAGAAGAAAAAAGTAAAAAACTATATCATACCTTGAATACTTCTGTATCATCCACATAAGAAATGCTCAAGAGATACTCAAGGCCCATCAAGAGTGCAGCTATGTTCTCTTGTGTGGATTCCAGTACCCGGATATGAAACTGCATGCAGAGGACTATATCAGATAATAACATGTTAAATTATCACAGTTGAGCTGTCTAAGAGCATCCACCGACTGCATTTATGCCACAAAGCAAGCACAGGCACCCAGAAATTCAACCGCTTGGTATGCAAAAGAGCAATAATGCTCTGTTGTATAGACTCTAGTACACAAATACGAGATTGCAAGTTAAAATGCTACATCAGATGCCAAAATTATTACTCCCTTTATTCCAAAAATAATGCAGCACTTTTCATTTTGAATTGTTCAAAAAATGCAACATTCCCTTTCTTGGAAAGTTTCAGTCCAAATCTACTTTTTTGCCCACCAATAATCATTATTTGGTATGTAATTTTTTATTTTGGTACACTAGTTTTCATTATTTTTTTATTAATGCGCATTTTAGATTTTTAGATAATGGGTCAGTAGTAAAACATTTTTATTAAATGTGTCCGCTGTCAAACAATGCATTTCTTGGGATGGAGGGAGGAGGAATTGTCAAAGGTAGTCAGGTACCCTGTCTAACAGCACCTATGGCCGGCATCATCCAGGAAGTAAGTGTAACACCTGGCCGGTTCTACCACTATGCATCCAAAAGTTTTGCATGTCATCAGACTGGACTTACTGCAAACTTAAAAGCCCAAAAAAAAAAAAACTGAAGGACCCATAAAAGCTAACCACTTATATGCACCAATCTTTCATCCCAAATTAGTAGGGGTAGACCAAAAACAAGAAACGGGTAGAAATTGTAACGAGGTAAAAACTGTAGAATCCCTCCATGCTAACCCATTTAAGGCAACCTCATGTCATTCACCCCAATCAAGTAAAGCTTCCTTAAAAACATTTACCCTCTTTCTTAAACTCCACACTTCCCCCACCCCTCCCCATCTCCTCGGTACTGATCTCCATCCTTGCCAATTAAATAAGTTACCAAATCTTTAGCAAGTATAGTTGTTAGTCAATGTACACCACGCCATGAGAGGAGGCTTCCCCAATGTTGCGGCATTTTCCAGTTTCTCCCTCGCTTTATAGAGTTGCAATCAAATTCATATGGGGATTAGCCAATTACTGATTTATCGCCCTTTTGTCATGACTTGCTTCTAGAGTTGAATAATTCCATAGAGGGCTTCCTTCTCATTCCAATGCAGGATGTAGAGAAGGTGACAAGGTCACCTATTTTCCCATGTCAACAACAAATTCAAGCTTCTGTTCAGTTTTAGAAGAATGTAGCAGAGGCTCATTTAGGTATCCAAGCTTCTATTTTATTTTAAAAAAAAAGTGGCAGAGTCATACTTAAGGGGGTGTTCAGTTAGAGGTTAAAATGAGAGCATCCCCAACAGGTATGCTATATTTTCCCAAATCAGCAAAATCTCCAAAAAGTTTATAACCGTTGGAGCAAACTTTTCCCAAATCACCCATGGAAGGGCCGCAGCCACTCAACTGTTCACAAAATTTCTAAAATAGCATAGCTGTTGGAGATGCCCTGAAAATTCATTTCCATTTTCATTACCTGTCATTTTCTTTTTCTTTTTCTTTTTCATTTTCATTTTCATTCCCATTTTTATTGCCTAGCCTGAACCAAACAGCACCCAAGTATTACTTACACGGAGAAAATTTTGCCCCAAAACAGAAACTTGCCTTGTAAAATGAAGTGAAAAACAATGCCAGATTCTGAATAAATGCCTGAAAACAGGAAAAGAACAAAAATTATGAGTCAAAGTTTGTTCACGTCCATAAGCTTAAACATGACATTTACTTCATCCCCGCAATCACCTGCTCCTCACTAGAGCCATTTGCATATGCATCCGGTATATTTGTACTAGTTGGAAGAACGGACTACAATAAACAAGCATACAATAGAAAGAACTCAATAAGAGAAAAGCACAAAGATGAAACAAGACAGAGCATAAAAGTTTACAGGCTTAACTCAGCTCCAAAAGACTCGCTAACACATTGATTCGATAATGAAATTCTCACATACCTGCAACTGGACCATGAATATGTTATACATTTTAACATATTGCAAGTTGTAGAAATCTCCAAAATTCAGGGCTGCAACCTGTGCCAATGAATGCACTAAAAAAATAAGATAGTTGCATTCTTTATCAGAGAGGCTATGTATACTCTTCCAAGTGCCCCAAATAAGCATTACCTCCGTCAAGCACTGAAGAGTCAGATTACGATAAGATGGCACAGGAAAAAATTTAAGGAGCGTCTCCAACTGTAATATAGTGTAGCATTGGTTGCAATTTCATGAGCAATGCACCAAGAAAAATGTTAATGGAATCATAGTTTCCATGAGGAACTTAACAACCCAGGAAGGAAATACAAACCAGTGGGGATTCAAAAATATAGCCCAAAGGAATCCACGAAAGGAAAGCATGTAATGTGGCCAGCGTAGCCCTGATCAGCTCTGTTCTTTGAGATGCCGATAGTACATATAAGCATAATTCATGAATGAGTTGAAACTCGCTGTTAACAACCATAAAAAAACGAGCACATTTTAGTTAAGATTAGATATAAACAACTAAAAATAGAAATAGTCCTCCACCCAATCAAATCGTCTCCAAGAACATATGACAACTGAGCAACAGCAAACAACAAATTACAGAAGATGGCATTTGGTCGATGCACATTCCATGCTGAGTCTAAAATAAAGCAACCCAAAAGGCATGCGTCCAAGCAACAAATTATTTGCTGCCTACACTAAAGCACGTATGATATCAACTCCCCCGTATCATAGAAGAATCTGGAAAGTATTTTTGAACTTATGTGGCTATGAGTTATTTGATAAAGTAACATATTAGTAACTTTAATGGTAAAACCAAAAACAGAAACCAACTACTAAACCAATTTTCTTTTTAACTACGATATATTGAATATGCCAAGAAAAAAGAACAAAAACATTACAGGAAACAGAAATCTAAAGCCAAGTCTAACATAAATCAGCACACACATATCACCTCAAGCAACAAACCGATTCCCACAACCACTCTCAATCAGAAATCAACTTTGATTTTAGCACCCAACAATTTAGCAGTTCCCATGCGATGAATTGCAGCTACTTAAGAAGTACTAAATAAATGATCCACAACACTCATCACAAGTCCAAAGTTAACCATGACAATTCAAAATAGCAAAAATCTGCATCGGATATACGGTGGGAAGCTTTAAAAGATACTTCACCAAGAAGCGTAAGAGCCACCTAGAAAAAAGGTCAAAGATAACATGTATCTCACAAACTAGAGGAAATTTTTTCTTCTCTCTTATCAGCAGACAAAGCTATAACATTGGCAAATAGGTATCTCAGAAACTAACGGAAGTTCCAGCAAGGAGAGTCAGGAGTAGAACAGAACTTATAAAAGATCGCAGTTACCTGTTCAGAGATTGCTTAAGCTCCTTGATCTTCTGTTGAGTCATTTCACCCCTTGAGAAATCAAATACCTCTTCACTTAAAAGCTGGAAAGAAACAATCAATATTTAGACCACATATGCTAGAATAAAGCAATAAGACTCAAGGAGTGGGGATATATCAAACATACTTTCAGTATCGCCATGCAGTTCTCACAAATTGTTTCACTAGTTTTTGCTGCCGCAACCAGGTCAGGGATGAAGCTCCGCCACCTAGCTGGCCACTCATGCTTCAAAATCTGCATACCAATTACAGGTCATTTCATCCTAGTTTCCAATGGAAAATTTTTAAATAGCAACAACATACAAGGAAAGAAAACAACAGCTCACCTGAACTAGTATAATGTTAAGTTTGTTAACATACAACCGTTCTTGGCGGAAAGAACCCTCGTTACTTGAAAGCTAAATACAGGACAAGTTAATTTATTTTCAAATTAGTCAAACATAACACAAGAACTTAAGAAGGATCTCAGAAAGCATTAGCTACGGCAATCCATACCTTTACTATAACATCAGATATGTAATTTTTCATCCCATCCCGTTGTTCAACAGGCAACACATTCCATCTATACTTAATAACACCCTCAAGAACCTGTAGAAAATAAGACCAGTAAATTCTGTCTGTCATCATAACTATAAATTGAAGAATACATTTGAAGTAACATGCATTATCCATGATCACAAGCAACTACCTTTTGGGGGGTACACTTAACTTTCACACATTTTAATTACTGAAATGGTTCCCTTTGGAATGCCACTAATTCTCTAATTGTAAGGAATATTACCCCTCCTGAATTTTACACCAACCAAAATCATGAAAGTGTATGAGCATGTTGCCAAAATTGGAATGCAGATCTGTAGCCTATGGTTGCACTCTGAATTACTCCCTCCCCCCCAGTATAAGTTTCCACATTTCTATTTTTGTTTGTCCAGAAATAAGTGTCCACTTTCAAAAGTAAATAACCAAATTCTCAAATTTACCCTTAGTTAATGCACAAATATTTAAGAGATGTGAAGAAAGATAAATTAAATACGGGTAAACATGTCATTTGGTTAACAAAAAGTGTAATAGTTATGCATGTATAAAACTGTGTGTCATTTCAATTGTGGAACTTATTTTGGGACGGAGGGAGTACATAATGTTTAAAAAACAAAACAATTGAGTGGAAACCAAAGTTCATAATTGAAGACGATTTAACTGCATCATAGGTATATTAACTGCATCAGAGCTTGATGTATACATTACTAGCAAAAGTATAACATGTATATTTACAAAAACTTGGGGATTTAGAAAGCATCATTATCTAGTTTCTATTCACTAATTCTTTAGAGCTCAAGATGCAACCCAAACCTAAATTTTACAACATGCATAAGGCCACAGAAGCGAAAAAAGATCATATTCACTTTGAACATGTGAACACTTGTAATACAGACAACTGTTTAACTAGCAGATCACAAAATATAGAAATAGTGACCTGTAAAGCAAAGAACTTGGTGTTCAAGCTCTGTGCACTGGACAGAATGTGAACCACTTGAAGCCACATATCTGGATTGTTTTGCAACTCCCTCAATATATGATCAGCAGCAGTCCTCTGTATTATTAACATATATACATAAGAAACAAAATGAGAATAAATTCAACAGTGTGTGATCAACTAGGAGAATAAGACATCAGAAATGAGATAAAATCAGATAGACCTATTATTTTAATGCACATTCCTCCATTTCTGTTACGGCCTAACCAAATAAATACCAATTTCTTTCTTAGTATATTCCAATTATCCATATGCAAGCAGTTGCTTACATCCTGATGAAGAGCCTTAACTAACTTTATAAGAGCTCGATGCATGCCAAGTATCAATTACATGAAAGGGGTAGCATAGGTGTCCATATTCTCTTCCAAGTGGTAGTTCTAGTTGAACTGAAACACAGTTAATTTGTATTGCCTTCTCAGTTCTCTGCAAACAAGGAAGAGGCGAGGCTCAAGCCCCCGTGCCTCCAACATGCAATATATGATTCATTAACATCATGGACCCATCTATGTTTCATGGGAAGCCAGCTGATGTCAATTTGTAGTAGAACCTTCTACCCACCCTTAAGACTGGTAATGGATCATCATATTCAATGGTTATTATTCCCTATTTAACATATATTAGAATTTCTGGCATCAGGGTAAATTCCCCTTTCATGACACCAAAAGTAGCTGATTTCTCATTTTAATAAAAACTAGTACAAGTTTTCTAAGTATTTGTTATGCTTGCAGCTTTGCTCCTTACAATCCTACAATTACGCTCTTCTTAAAGGCTTTCAACATTTTTATTCTGTATCTATACTAGCATATTTGAAATTTTTATGAGTTCTTATGAATTAGTCTGCACGTTCACTCCAGATATCGACTGTCTTTGTTTGATGCAGAGCAGCATGTAACCAAGAGAACGCAAGCCCTTCCTCAAGACTGGTACATGCCTACCAACTAAAGCAGTTAATAAAGTGACTCAACCATAGAGAACTTCAGATCACCACATGAACAAGCCTACATATTAGCAAATATCTAGGTTTGTTCATATATTTTCTGGCTTAAGTCCAGCTCCCTAAGTAAGAAAATACATGTTTCTCATTGCAACTAAGGAGATATGAAAGTTAAAATTCAAGTCATTTACTCAAATAACATGAAAAAACCTAGATATTAGCAACAAGCCGACCTAACCAAAAGCTTGTATTCAATGGCCATTGTAGATTTTTTTAATTTGCTATACAACCAGATGTCATCAGTAATTTCAATTGGTACTACTTGAAGGAGTGTAAACTTTTATATATCAACCCCATAAATAATATCCAAGCGTTAAAAAGGATGCAAGAGTATTTAACAATGACGAGACATGCAGAAACAATATAAACGTTAAGTTTGTGCCGAATTGGGGCATTTGCTACTGTCACCACCGCAATTAGGTGTTAAGTTTTGTCTTAAGCACTTCCTACGATCTATCCTTGATGCAAAAACGTGAACGAGGTGTACTTATCTGCACTCTAATGGAAGAAATAATGTGCAAACATCACCAAAAGGTCCATTCACGAGTTAAAGTAGAATGTATGTTGGTCAAACAATAAGCAATTTAACCCCAAAAACAACAAAAACCTAATAAAATTAGTTTGCTTGCATCACATTCCTCCTCCATGGATATAAAGTAAGAAATTGCGGCAAACCTCGTCTTTAGATCCGGTGCCATAGAAGGCAGCAACGGTAGCATCAAGTAAGGCAACATCAATCGGCTGACTTAAATCCCTAAGCTTCTCCGCCGCCATCGCAGAGAAATTAAGAAGTAAAACCCTAGATGAAAGCGTGGGGTTGCAGTTGACCAGAAAAACCCTGTTGAATGAAGCAGTGTACGGACGAAAACCCTAGAGGGGGGAAAAGCAGGACGACGGTATATACAGATTCTGGAACTAAGAGATATATATAAGTCGTAAATATATATATATAAAGACAGCTTCAAAATGAAGCAGAAAGAGAGACTTTGAAACCAACCCCTTCCCTCCTCTTTTTTACGCCACCGGCGACTGTCTTTGTGTCCTTTTGTTTTTCCATTACCAAAACAATATCTTTAGCATTTATAAAACTGTTAAAATTTATTTTTTATACATTAATTATTATTTATTGATGTATATTATTTAAAATGTAAGATTATAAGTAATTTTACATAGGTACTAATAACTTACTAGAAGCGTACTCACGCAATACAGCGAGATACATCGTGATTTTAATATTTCATTTTATTTTTTATCTCAGTCGATATTATAATATGGTTTTATGTAATTATGAGAAAGCGATGATGTTTTTATTTTTGAATAAAATATATGTTTGAAGATATCATAAAAATTTGACAAAAATATATCCATATTAGTATCAAATTAACTATTTGAAATTCTTTATTTTTTGTGTAATTTTTTTAATTCAGTTTTTTTATAATTTAATTTATGTACAATAACGAAGTAATTTATATTTGGTTTAATAATATAGTTTATTTATAAAGATAATAATTATTTATTTTGTTGGAACTCGATAATTATTCTAATTATATTTTAGATTTTTTATATTTTAAAATGAGATGTTCATTTTCTATTTGATTATGTTTATCCGCAGTTATTTATATGAATTCAAACATCGAACTTATGCATAATTACTTATAATCTTGAATTTTAAGTAATATGCATCAATATACAGTACTTTATGCATAACAAAAATATATCAATATTCTTATCAAATTAACTATTTAAAATTCCTCATTTTTTTAGTAATTTTTTAATTCAATTTTTTATTATAATTTAATTTAGGTACATAACGAAGTAATTTATATTTGGTTTAATAAAATAATTTGCAGTTAGTTAGACGAATTCAAATATGAAACTTTAATAAGTTGTACTTATGCATAATTTACTTGTAATCTTAAATTTTAAGTAATATGCATCAATAAATAGTACTTCGTGCATAAAAAATTATTTTTAAGAAGTTTTATCAAATGCTTTATAATATAGTATAGATTAAAACTCTATTTTTAAATTCATGTAACTAACTTTTATAACCATAATCAAATACGGGATAAACATTCATTTTAAATATAAAAAATCTAAAATATAATTAAGATAATCATTAAGTTTTAACATAATGTTTAATTATTATTTTTATAAAAAATTATGCTATTAAATAAAAAATAAATTATTTTGTTATTAAAATCTAAATTAAATTAAAAAAAAATTTGAATCAAATAAATTACATCAAAAAAACGAAAACTATTAAATAGTTAATTTGATACTATTATCGATTTATTTTTTTACAAATTTTTATGTTATCTTCAAATTTATATTTTTATTCAAATATAAAAAACATTACCACTTTCTCAATATCACATAAAATTGTATTACAATTTATATCGATAGAAACAATGAATAAAAACTAAACAATAAAATTGAGATTTATCTCGCTGCATTACACGAGTATCTTTCTAGTATATATAAAGCATCCTAAACGGGTACTATCCCTTATGCATCGTATACAAGTTTTGAAGCTAAACAATTTCCACATTTCAAAGATAATTAAAATCAAGTTATTTTTTATTTTTGAATCACATTTTACACTCCCGTGGAACAATCATACAACCATTAGTGAGTTGTGTTCATCAAGTGCAGTAAAATTACAAGATTAGCAACAACAAAAATAGAGCAGATCTTACATCTCCTGATGCGCGTCTAGGTCCAACACACAACGTGTCGATATCTGCACCAGGGCCATGCACCTATCAATAAACAAAAAATATGATAAGGTGAGGCCATAATTAACTTGCAGAACTTGTATCACGGGTAAATAACAAAAATACAAATGAAAATGACATGCACCAGATGAAATTCATTAAGTTTGGAGCAGCACATGAAATGACATACCATCGTTATCGATCCCCTTGCAAGAAGGTTACATTAGAACCTAACTCTTATCATCTATAGAGTAAACCACACGAGGTAGAAAGACCAAAGTTCAAAGAATAAGCTGAGTCAATAAGAAACAACAATTAATATGGATTTTAATATATAAAAACAGGTTTGAACAACTACTCTTGATAAATGGGCGCATCTGGACTGCACCGTTAAAAATGATTGAAGAGGTCGAGCAATGAAAAGAATATAGGCAATCCGCCTGCCCCGTTTCCATTTTCGTATTTAATTAAATTTTATGTTACTACTTTTTTCTATTTAAAACTTTTTAGAAGTTCGATTGCTTGGCTTTTAGACAGACTCCCCTATTGATTTAACAATCACCTCCGCAAATATGTATCCTCTATATGATATGTTGTGTATCAATATATTGAGATATTAGATGTTGAAATATTTAATTGTTGGATAGTCCAGAATCCGGGGTTGATAAATTATAGGAGAGGAAATGTCCATACCTCATATTGTGTAAAACTAGGTGTGAGCAGCGGAACCGGGTACCCACTTGCGGAACCGGAACCGGAACTGATATGAGTGGTTTCAGTTCCGGTTCCTAAAATATGGAACCGGTTGAAAATGGTTATGGTTCTCAATTTTTTGGAACCGTTACCCGTCGGGACCGATTGTGCAGTTTTTTATATAATTTATGCAGTTTTTTTATGTAATTTGTGTAGTTTTATGTTAAAAATATGTGCAGTTTTTTATATAATTTATGTACTTTTTTATACAAAGTTTGTGCAATTTTTTATATAAAATTGTGTAGTTTTTTGTTAAAAATATATACAGCTTTTAGTTAAAAATACGTGCAATTTTTTACGAGTATATGTAGTTTTTTTAACACTCAATTATTCACAAGTACCATATGAGGTTGAGGATGCAATGAGTATGCAAGAAGTTGAAACGAGATTCAGAATTTGAGATAAAATGATTCGTATTTTTTCAAATTGTGTGTTTAATTTGATTTGTAGTATGTAATCGTTAAACTTTGAACATTTACAATTATAGTATATAATCGTTAAATTTTCAACATTTACTATTAGTCTATTATGGTTTGTAATCGCTAAACAATATTTTTAACTATTATTCTGTATAATTTCTATTCTTGTTTATTTATTTAGTATTTTGGCATTTTTTTAATTTTTTATTTCTAAATACCAAATTTTAATATTTTAGGAAGCGGGTACCCTAAACCGGTTCCCGACGGTTCTGGTTCCAAAAATTCAAGAACCGTTCTAACCAGTTCCGGTTACAATATTTCAAGAACCGCCGGTTCCGATTCCTGTCAAATAGGGCGGGTACCCGCCTATGCTCTCCCCTATGTAAAACTATTTTTACCATTTTTCAAGTTGGAAAACAATTTATATTTTGAATAATTTCATGACTTATTTTATATTACTTTTGCTTTTTTTATATGTAAAAGGGTTTTAGGCTCATTAGCAGGAAAAACCCACGCTGTTTATATAACGCGTACGAAAAATTATCAAGTATGTAAAAACATGCTTGGATTTGTTAGATTAGACCCGTTGAATAAAAATAATAATTTAGGCTCGGCTTGTGCACGACCAAGCTACAATGATCACCCGTAGGATATTATGTATTCGTTTGGTCTGGTTTATCTCAAAAGTGAAAGTATGTATTTGCATTAAATCTGATTATCTGAATATCTCAATCTCGTTGCAGGTACTTAACTCACATCGCTCGAACAAATATGATGGCTTCATGGTTTGTAATCGTGGGTGCCAAGACTGGTATTCCCGTCAATGCAACCGTCGTCATGCTCACGACGACGGTTGTGGCCGCTTTCTTCACCAAACTTGACATCCTCTCAAACCTCCTCTCCATCTCCACACTCTTCATCTTCATGCTCGTAGTTGTCGCCCATCCTCGTTAGTCGCTACTACGTCACTGGTGTCACCGCTGCCGCCAACTGTAACAAGCTCATCGCTTGTTTACTAACCATCCTCCTTTCATCATGCGCCATCGCCGCGTAGTGAAGGGTCTCCGAACACGGTTGTATCAGGTACTGCATCACGGTCCCAATATGAGCAGTCGGAACCATCTCACTTTGAGCTTTCGTCCCACAAGCACGAGAACTGGAAATTGATCCTGTGCACTGACCTTATTAGTGTTGACATTCAGTTAGGATTGATCCGATGGTGGAGATCTCTTCTTACATTTTTCACCATAACTTTCCTTTTCACCGAATCCAACATAGTTATAGATAAATCCCACAGGGTAAAGTGACTGTTTCAATATACATGGCTAAATAATAATAACAAACAAACCTAGTAAATCTCATGCAAAAATTAAATCTGTATAGGTTTGGGAAGGATAATTATACAAAAACCATTCCTCTAACCCATCAGGTTGAGAGGCTATTTTCATGTACATATCCAAAAAACTGAAAGAACCCCCAGAATTATTCTTGGTTGTGAGACACCATCACATCCAATATAAGTCCCCAAAATCAAAAATAAATATAAGAAAAAAAAATAAAAATTAAAAAGGGGTCGAACTCCTTATTCTTGAATGAGAAAAAAATGAATATTCAATTTAAATTAATAAAAAATAGAAAAAAATAATATTCAATTGAAATTAATAAAAAAATTGGGCTAAATAAAAAGCCAAGTAAATCTCATGCAGAAGTAAAATTTGTGTAGGTCTAAAAAAGTTAAGATGTAAATAAATCTTTCCACAACCTTATGGGGCATAAAGAAAGACTGTTTTTCATGTAAACACGGTAAATTTGCAGTCATAATTTGCCTTTCATAGTGTCCAAACCAATTATTTGAGCGACGTTTGATCATTGAAGGAGTGTCGATCGTTCATCGTTGCCGACACTCAAAACACCTGTTGAATTTGAGCTATCGTCCCATGATGGTGAAATAGACGGTGATGTTGTTTTTTTCTAGTATGGTTGAGACAATCATCTTATTCCGTTCTAGGAAAGCAATTGACATTAATTTGCCATGTGTCCACTTCCAAAAGTAATGTCTACTTTTCAATTCTACTCTTAATTATGAGATACAAAAGTTAACTACTTCTATTATTACGAGTAAAATTGTCATTTCATTAATTAAAATGTATAATAATTACACAGTTATAAAAATGTGTGTTTTTTTCATAATGGACTGGACATTTATTTTGGGACTTTGAAGTGATAGAACGATATCGGCAATGAACCCATCACAACCCAATTTGAAAACGTAATAATTAATGAATATGCCTTCCGACAGAGATGAAAATCCACCCTAAATCATCGGTTGCTCGAGGCTAGAAAATGAGGACCACAAGCAATGAAGTTGACCAACGACTCTACCTCCATACCCTATGAGATTAGCTTTAGGAGGCCTACTCCATACCCATACCTCTATGTGAGCCCGAAGCCCACGACAAACCACTTTCTGCAAGGCCCGTAAAACCCGTCCCGAAAAAGCCGAACCATGACAAAGAATAGAGACAAACTCATGCATCTCGTAATGTTTTTTTTCTTTTTCTCATTTTCGTGGTCTCTAGCATCATTTTGACCCAACTAGTCCACTTGGTACATGAACCATGTGTCTTGCTACATAACAAACCCAAATGTTTAGGATTGTTTTCCTGAACTTGTAGGTGAAAATTCCGAATTGAATCATTGAACTCGAAAAGAAGTGTAATTTCAACATAAAACAAGGATAATCTACATTAAACAAGAGTCTTTCACGTAAAGAGAGAAAGAAATGAACAAACCGAGAGTCAAGTCTAACGTGGGGCCTTCTTTTTGCCGGCAATTGCAATCTTCTTGCCCTTCAAAGTCCTGCAATTGTTCTTCGTGCGTTGTCCTCTACACGGCAGTCCCTGAATATGGCGTATGCCTCTGTAGCACTGGATTTCTTTCAATCTCCTAATAGCAAGCGCGTTGAATCGCCTCTGTAAAATCAAAAAAGCAAGTGAATCCCAACATAGAGATTTGTCCTCGAGCAAACCACCTTGTGGTTGCGTTTGGTACACTGAACAGGACATGATTAGAAACAAAAAATTGTCCCACGTGTGGTGCGACATTTACACCAGGACAAGACATCTTTTGACAAAAATGCATTTTCTTTGTCCCATCAAAATATGTGGAACAAAAATTGAGGTGATACAAAACTGATAAATTACTAAACTACCTATAGAGTTGGATCTTGAAAAACAACTACTCTTAACATCCAATGATGAAATTGGCAACGGCGAAACTTGACCCTTATGTATACAATGTCTTAACTATGCCCAAACCCTTGATTGGGATCTTGAAAAATTGTTCCAAAATAGGAACTTACCGAAGTATGATCCGTTTCCATGCATTTTATTTTTGCTTCCTTAACTTCAAACTTGGGGACCATGTTTAACGATACAAAGAGTATTCTAGGAAACACGACAACTATCTTGAACAAAACTAGCATTAAGAACGTCTTTCAAATAAGACCAAGCATCCAACTTTGAGCTCTAACTTGGAGCGATAAGCTAGCTTATAAACTAATAATGTCTGGTAAAAACAAGCAGATAAACAAATCATGTTTCGTAAACTGGTTGATAAACTAATTGTGTCCAGTTAAAACTAGCTGATAAACTAATAATGTTTCGTTAAAAATAAGTGGTATGCTAGATAACAACATGAAAATGACTTACAAGAATATGTTGAAAACTTAAGTGAAAAAATTACAAGGAACATGACTGGAAATGCTACTTGAAGTAGCTTTTTCTATCTTATAGTTAGGATTGCTTATTTGAAACAACTTATGCTTTTCTACAAAATCACTTATCAACTTATTTTATAAGTGAGAAGGGTTTAACTTCTTTAAAACTCCTTATTACCGGTTTGGCACCAGTATAAGTAGTTTATCCAAAAACTCAAAAGTGCTTATTACCGGTGCCACATCGAAATAAGTCAATAAGTTGTTCATCCCAAACACCCCTACACAGTCTTTTTAATAAGTTAATAACTTATGGTCGCAAAACATGGCCTAAAACCCTAAAATATCTATTCAGAAGTTGAATTCGAAGGTTGTAATAGCAGATTAGCAATCATAAATGTAAATCATATTGCTATGAAAAAAGGAATTCGAACATACAAGGTCTCCTTCAATCATGTACTTAGAAACTTCATCACGAAGCGTAATAAGTTCTTCTTCCGACAAATCTTTGGTGATTTTGTTCTCCATTTTGAGGTCATTCAAGATCTCAAGTGCCCTGGTTCGACCAATTCCATGAATATACTGTAGCGAATACTGCACTCTCTTGTTGTTTGGTATCTCCACTCCTCCTACACGAGCACATCTTATGCTCAATCCACCAACCTGCAATTTCGATTCAATTTCAGTTCAATTTCAAACCAATTAACAGAAACCCCAATTTCATCCATATCCATTGTTACCTTTGGAGGATTAAAAGTCGAGAACGATAGAGAAGTTGGAGATGATTTGAAGGAAGAGGAGGTGGTGCAGATAAGAGAGAGTGAAGGGGCGACGGGTGTTGCCAGAGCTTGAGCCATAACTGCTGTACGTCTATGGTGTGGTGAAGGGGCAAAGCTCGCCTAAATGACTCTTATCCTCATGTGTTGGTGAGAAATTTCCTTTTTTACCCCTAGATTATTGTACATTAACAAGTTTAGTCCCTCTAATTTTGTTTGTTATAATTGGTCTGCTCTAAAATATTAACTTATTCCGGTATGGTACCGATAATAAAGAATTTTTACATGTACAAGCTAATACAAACACTTATTACTAGTTTATTACGTTTTGGTACCATCATAAACTAATCTAAATTTTTTTATATTACTCCAATTTAATACCAGATAAGTTGATAAATATTAAAAAAAAGACTTATAAGATGTGTTTGAATTTGCTTAGTTAAAATGCTTATTAATTTATTTCAGTATGATATCGATAATAAACAGTTTTTAATATTTAAATAAAAAAAAATATTTATACGATGCCAAGTTAATAAGAAGTTTTGAATCTCAAACATGTTAGAAGTGTTTTAAATAAGGAATCCCACGACACCCCCTAACTCGATACCAAAAATACCAAACGTTTTTCCTTCTTATGGGTATGGTTACTGTATGATGAACACATAGCCGAGAAACCGCCATCATCACTACTACCGGCAGCAGTAGCTCAACGCCATCAGCAGCTTATCTATCGATTGCTTGATCTTCAATCGCTGAAAACCCCCAATAGTATGATATAATGGTGTTTAAAGGTAGATTCTTCTCTTCAAAGAAATCGTCCGACACTTCAAGCCCTGAGGGATCCAACAGCCCTCGATCTATTGGCTCTAATTCCAATTCTCCCATAAGATCCGAAAAGAAGAAGGCAAAGTCTGCAACCAAAGACAATCATCACCCACCGATCGTCACCAGTTCTACGTTTCGTCAAACTCAAGTCAAAGATGGTTCAAGTTCAAGTTCAACTTCAAACCTAAAGCATCTTAGTCAGAATAAGAAGGAAGTTACTATAGGCACGGAATCGAGGGTTAATGCACTGACTTCTGTAAGCACAAAACCAAGTTTGGGAGCAGTATCAGCATCATCCAAGCCCACACGGAAATATGCGGCGGAAGTTCCGCCGACTGTTTCCCCGATTTTGGCATCCTCACTTGGTTTGAATCGGATCAAGACCAGATCGGGGCCGCTGCCCCAAGAGAGCTTCCTCGGGTTTAATAGAGATAGTAATAACAATAATGCTAATAGCAAAACGTCTTCGCTTGGGGCCAGTAACCTTTCAAAAGCAAAAAGCAGCGCAGGTGGTGATGGCGGTAGCTTCAAAAAGATGGGACTTGCTGCTGACAAGAATAAGATGCCTTCTTGTTTTGAAAATGGTGATCGGGGTTCTTGGGATGACAATGCGAGCGCTTCAGACATGCCCGTTAAAAGCGTACCTTTAAGAGATCAGACCCCTCATGTTTTAGGTCGTTCTCCACTACGGACTGGAGAATCTTCATCAGAAGCTGGTACGATTCTTGACGGATTTCTTGATGTCTTTTTTCCATCATGCCTTATGTGTAGGATTTACATAATAGACGCATGAAATGGCTCTTTATTATCCAATGGGCCTTATGTGTGTGTATGTTCTCCCTCCCGCCATTTTTTTTTATTTTTGGTTTTAGATATCTTATAGGCTGATTGACAGATTTTGAATGATTAGGTGCAGAATACACAAGTGACTGTTTGATTTAGTGACTCTACATAATTTAGTGAATGGCCGTTTTGATAAATCTTTTGAATGGACGTTGATGACCATTATGAATTGATAGAAATTATGGACTTAATCCCTGAAAATAATTTATCCATTATACCATTCATACAATAAAAATATCAATTACACCATCTTAAAAATATCTAAATTGGGGCCTTAATTCTCAGATAATAAGATTTTTCCATGTCCTCTATGTTGTTATCATCAAAGTTGCAAGTCATGAGCCATCAATACAAGGTGGTTTAATTTGATTCCAACTCTTCATAAAAACAATACCATTTACAAGAAGGAGCCATTATTTCAAAAAGAACAATAGGAATTTCTTTAAAACCATATCACAAAGTCAGAACGATTAGATTCATTCAAAATGAGGCTCACAGCTATAAAGATTTCTACAGTTAGATTACAATAAAGCATCCACAGTTTATCAGGAAAAATCTCCATGCACATTAGCATTCCCAATAACTTCTTATCTCCAAGAAGGCAATATGGGTGCGACGTATCTTCTAGTAGGGTTTCACTTGTGAGTCCAACATTGATCTTGACCCAATGTATGTGTGCGCCTTTGCTCATTGGAAGAATTGCTCACCCATGATCGCTGGTGGTCATCTGAAGGTACCCTACAGTACTTATTCTGGAGGGGAAAGAATTGGACGAGTCCATTTATTTCGTGATTGTTATTCATAGTTTTGGAATAAAAGAAGTATGGGCAACATAATTTGTACAGTATTGAAAGAACAATGGAACAGGATATTCTTAGAGTAGAAAGGGTAGAGAAAGGTTACTGGTTCGGGAAGTTGGACTATAGGCCTAACCCATCTGAACATGTCAAAATATTGTGAACAAATCCTTGGCTGATCAAACTCTTGCGAGGAGATCTACATATTGTGAATAGATCATTATCAATGAGCTGTTGAGAATATTATGAGAATCTAGGGAACTGCATTGGGGCACACCACGGACAAGGGTCTAAAACAAATGATGTTTGCGACTCAAAATCGACAGAAACCAAGGATTGACTTAAATAGAATCTAGACAGAGGCAGGTGATGGAAGGTGGCCAATGTCTGCAACAAAGGTTTCACTGGCATAGATGGTTGCAGCAAACGTTTCACTGATGTTAGTGGAGTTAACAAATGACTTTGATGACTTCTATGAGGATTGTGATGGCTGCCATGAGTTGACTTGACAACTCGGTAACTTTAATTGACCAACTATCGCATCAAAAAGGTTATTTGACAGTCAAACATGGGCTTGCTCTTCAGTATTAGAACCTTATGTTACATAATTGCTGATTCCCTAATTACCTTTGTGGCCTTATCATTTTAATCATCTTCAAGAACACCAAGTAACCTCTATTGAGATGTGTGCTTGGCCTAGATTGGCTTAGTAACTCAAGCAGTCACACTCAAAAGGAAACAAGGGAACAAAGATGGAAGAACACAAGAATATTGCTCAAGTATAACTCTATTCCATGCAATGCTTGATGGGTTACGTATGGCATGGACACCCCTATTTACATGCTCAATTCCACATGAATGGTGGGAGTAAACTAACTGGATGGTTGAGTTTAAAAGATCTAGAAAGACCCTGAATATATGCATGGAGAAATGTCCGCAAAATATCTACAACCAAGTAGAGTTTCTAAGACAATTCCAGAGAACCTTATGGAAGGGAGGGGAGGATGCCTGGGACTAAAGGTGCCATGTAGAAACGTTGTGAGCACCAATCATATCCCTAATAAGCACAACTTGGCCAAATCTCTTGTTAGCTGAAACACTTGGCTCTCATATCATGTTAGTATTTAGGATTAGGGTTCCTAAATAATGTATTATTTATAAAGACAAAACTACTAGTAGATAGTACATCTGATGGCATGTGGATTGTAAATGGATGAAATTCTAGTTCAGCATTCTAGCAGGAATTTTTAGCGTATTTGCTTCATCTTTCTGATGATCTAATTGTAAAATATTATGAGAGATATTTTCTTTAAACTGTGGTAATTTTCTTTATTTTTATTATGTATAACAGTTTGTTGAAAATGTCAAATATTGATACATTTAGCTTTTGAATTGTCACTAGAAGATGACCATTCATTTTTGAAATCAACATTTAGAAGTTTTCCCTTTTCTACTAGTTTATGAACAAAATGTTCTGAGATTTTCTTAACATATAAACATTTTGGAGTTCACCATAACCATGACAGGGCGTCTGAAGTCAAGGGGATACTCTGGAGGCTTGAGGACTTCAGATATTTGTACTCCAGAGATGAAGGTAATTTTTTTTCTTCAACCGTAGCCAAACAGTTCTATTTCTTTCATCAAGATGTTGCTTCCTTTAGCAAATTATAGTTCTTTATGGCGTGTAACTGAAACATCAGTTTCTACCTTTCTAGACATCATATGATTGTGAAAACCCTAAGGAATCTGAATCACCCCGCTTTCAAGCTATACTACGTCTTACGAGTGCTCCTAGAAAGAGATATCCCGCTGACATAAAAAGTTTCTCCCATGAGTTGAACTCGAAAGGTGTACGACCTTTTCCATTTTGGAAACCTCGGCGTTCAAATAACCTAGAGGTACACATACATCTTTTTCTAGTATATTATCTTCTATTGAATACTTTCTTGCTACTATCATCTCATTTCCATTGTCACTGCCACATTATTCTGAGCAGGAGGTTTTGTCAACGATACGAGCTAAGTTTGACAAAGCAAAGGAAGAAGTAGATTCTGATCTGCATATATTTGCTGGAGATCTGCTTGGCATTCTGGAGAAGAATACAGAAAGTCAACCACAATGGCAGGAAACTTTGGAAGACCTGCTGGTATTGGCGCAGAGGTGTGCCATGACATCTCCTGGAGAGTTCTGGTTGCAGTGTGAGGGGATTGTTCAAGAATTGGATGATAGGCGTCAGGAGCTTCCCATGGGTATCTTGAAGCAGCTTCATACTCGTATGCTTTTCATACTCACCAGATGTACAAGGCTACTACAGTTCCACAAAGAAAGTGGGTTGGCTGAAGATGAACTTGTTCTTCAACTTCGACAATCACTGCATTCTGCTGGTAAACATATTCCTCCAAGCATGCCAAGAGATGGAGTTTCTAGTGCTTCAAGACCCTCAAAGGGGGCATCAACAAGGAAATCCTTCAGTCAGGAACAACATGGGTTACATCATGGCTTGGATTGGAAGAAAGACCAGGTTAAACAACCTGCAACTGTCCTGCCTCCACCTCCTCTAGAAACAACCAAGAACTTAGATTCCCCCACAGGCAGAGATCGGATGGCCTCATGGAAGAAATTCCCATCTCCTGGAGGAAAAATCCCCAAAGAAGTTGTGGTAAAAGAGCGGAATGACGATAAATTGGATGCTTCCAAGAGGATGACCAATCAAAAGGTAGCCTCTGATGTGGATTTGACTACCTTGAAGCCTCCTGAGCTATCTCCTGCTAAAGATTCACTTGCACAATCTACCACTCCTTATAAGCATCAGCACCGAGCTTCATGGGGCTGGGGGGATCAACCAAATATTGCGGATGAAAGTTCCATAATTTGCCGGATCTGTGAGGAGGAAGTTCCTACATTACATGTGGAAGATCATTCTAGAATTTGCGCAATTGCTGATCGATGTGATCAAACAGGTTTACGTGTAGATGAGCGGCTTGTCAGAGTTGCTGAAACCCTTGAGAAGCTGATGGAGTCCAATTCACAAAAAGATTTTCAGCATGTTGTTCGAAGCCCAGACGGTGCTAAGATATCAAATTCAAGTGTTACTGAAGAGTGTGATCTCCTGTCTCCGAAACTCAGTGATTGGTCTCGAAGAGGTTCAGAGGACATGCTTGACTGTTCTCCAGAAGCTGATAATTCTGTTTCCATGGAAGATCTTAAAGGTCTACCATCCATGTCATGTAGAACCCGCTTTGGTCCCAAGTCTGACCAAGGCATGACGACGTCATCTGCAGGTAGCATGACTCCTAGGTCACCATTGATGACACCAAGGACCAGCCAGATAGACTTGCTATTGGCAGGAAAGGGTGCTTACTCGGAACATGATGACATTCCACAGGTAGTCCCAAGTATTTTCCAATTTTTCATCAATTTTCTAATTACTTACAAACATGCATTTATGGCTAGACTATGTACAATGGTGCATTATCAGACATTACTTTTAGTGCGACACAAGTTTTATGTATTATGTTGGCCTACTTATATCATAAGGCTGTTTAAATGAAAATTTTCTAAATTATTTTGATGTTGAAAAATCAAAATTAGATAGTTAGAAGTGATTAAAGTTGGGGTAGCTAGATAATTTACAGTTACCCATAAAAATCAGTTTTGTATCTACTCAAAATCTGATTATTTTGTACGAGAGGTCGTAGAATGGGGTTCATTGCTGCTTGCAGTCACCTTTCTCTCCTTTTGGTCATCAACAGAGGCTTGATATCCTTAGATTTTGTTCTTTGTCGTGGCTTCAAATCATGTCGTTTTCCATGCCACTCGCAGCAAGCGTCCTTTGTAAGTATGACTATTCTTGTGACAGTGACCACACCAAACTTCTCTTCTTTGCTAATTCTAATCTGGTCCATTTGGCCCTCTTTTGACATGAGTTGTAATTGACAGTTACAGCCCCATATTGGGGCTAGGAGTTGTATGGGCTTCACGTCAGTTAGTGAATTAAATAATTCGAATTATATGCTTTACTGATGGAGTTCGAAACTGAAATATATATAGAACGATCCAGGAGTATAGATATACAAACTATATACTTTATAGGCGTATTTTAAAATTTAATACGTTCAATAGGGTTCGAGGCTGAGTGAACTATATATCTTGACTTGGGGAATAAGATCGATGACAATGGTGCAATTGGTTTTAGAATCCAACAGCAATTATGTATGGGATCCAAACCCAAAACTATTGAATGGTGGTGCAATTTTCTGATGTTATAAGAAACTGATGGTCAGTTGGTCACCATATTGTAGAGCAATGACTATAATAAGCTTTCTAACAATACTAAGAAAGTGTGGTTTCAAAGTCGAGAAATATCTCGTATCAGGTACGGACCACATTGTGACATGTGTCAAGATGTAGATATAAATACAAAGATCCCAACGATGCATTTAAATTTGTATGGAGAGTTATCTATTATGAGATACAAATTGAAAGAAAAGTAATAATCAAATATCAAACATATATTAAATCATTATAGTGTTAGAGATTACGTGGCGTGTTATCACCTAAATGTTTCTAATTGTAAACCATTGACTTAGAGGAGGCAGAGGTTTGATATCTATAATGAATAATATCGTTACAGGTTTGGGAACCTATTTTCTTCTCGTCTTATCTCTAAGAAGATTTCGTGGATTGAGTGCAATGGTCTCCGTCCAATGATTCTTCCCCTCATCTCGTCTAGTTCACGGTTGAGTCTAGCCAAGAATTCAAAAAACTCTCATTTTCAGTCTTTTCTCGAATGAATGCTGTTGCCGGAGGACTCACACTCTCTTTATAACTCAGATCCAATTCCTGCCACAGAGCCTTCATCTTTGTGTAATATTCCGGCATATTTTTCTTCTTATTTCATCTGCTATAGCCAAGTTATTTTGAATATCTGGGAAAGATATTCTCCAAATCCAAGTATTTCTCAAATAGCATCCCAAAATCTCTTTTGTGGTTGGAACAACGTATAAGTTTTTCCTATTGAGGGCTTCATTGATTTGAGTAACCATGCAGTGACCATCGAATTTTCTGATTCCACTTTCGCAGAGGCATCAGTGGAAGATGGTTTATTTATTTTATCTGTGAGATAACCCAATTCGCCTATAACCAATTATCAATGGACCCCATTTAGTAACATTACAATGAAAATTATTAACTGTGAATTGGAAGGAGTTTTCTGGCTTGTTTGATGTCATGGTATTCGTGACCTCAGCCATTGTTTTGCCAGTGATCTCCGAGAACGTGGATTGCACCATCAGTTGCCAAGGTTAGGCGTTCCTCGACTACGATACTATGAAAGCAGAAAGAATGATTTCTCTGTAATTTTTATAATGTCAAATAATACATTAGAGCCTCTATATTTATACTACAGCTTAGAAGCAAATTTCTAAAATTCCGGCTTAAAGATCAGGAAAGAGTTCTTTTAATCCTAGTTAAATCAGGAAACAAATAATCCAAATTTAAGTCTTATCTCTATCATTAAATTCAGGATTTCAACGCTTAATATTAAGTTCCTTTATGATGATGGGGTACCGAGTACCATCTTGTAATCGCCATAGACAACGATGGACATGCCTTTGCATAAAAATTATGCGAGGCACATTTTCTTTCTTCATGGATGTGTTGGGCTTCTTGATATGTGCATTTCTTTCTCTAGGGATTTTCCATGTAGCTTTTTCTTGCTCAAGTTGTTAGAGATTTATATATACTTTCAGTATAGCTTGAGTTATGCGCAGAGGTATGCCCTAGTGGGAATACAAGGAAAATGACATGCATGCACGTAGAATAAAACGAGTGGCTGGGCTGCAGAGTAATGATCATTTGAGGTATGAAATGGGCATCACATTGATTATTTAACTGTCAAGACACAAGTGGCAAGGATCTAAATCAAGCTGCTAACTCTGAAGTAGAACATTGCTGAAAGTTGGTGATTTGGTGGACCTCATAGAAGTTTGGTATTAGATGGGAGGTCTTAGGGGATGCTTTGATTAATCTTCAGTCCGTATTTCTTGGTTACATACTTAGCCTTTTCAGTCTAGTTTGTAATTAAAACCTCTGTTATCACTGATGCTAGTTGATCCCCTAGATAGCTGAGTGATTGAGCTGAAATTATGCCTCAGACTGTTACTTCTCAGGTTTAAGGGGTTAGCCTCATTTTTGTTTGTGTTTTTCCTTGATATGTGGTACAACATTATTCTACACAAGTGATATTTTTTCTATTATTTGAGTACAATTAGTACATATGTTATAATTCTTGTTATAAATATTATCATTATCCTCTCACCTGGAAAAGGCCAGGCTGTATGACTATTCCCAGGAGGTCAAGGGTTCAAACCTCACCAAATGTGAGGAATGTGCATCAGTATTTGCCATATATAAATATTATATACTTTATAAAAGGAGCTAGGCTGTATGCAGTTCTTTAGATAGTTACATTGTGTGTGTCGACGGGTTTCTCCTATGTTTTTTCCTTTTATGCACTTTACGTTGCATATATGTGCTTTGAGTCTGCAAAAACTGTAAAGGACATGCGTTTTCTTTCTTTTGCTGATGAACACCTGACCATTTCATGCTGAAATTTTTTATTTGTGTAGATGAATGAACTTGCTGATATTGCTCGATGTGCTGGAAATACACCCTTAGACGATGACCGCTCTTTGCCATATTTGTTGACTTGTCTTGATGATCTGAGGGTTGTCATTGACCGCAGGAAATTCAATGCTCTCACCGTTGAGACATTTGGAGCACGCATAGAGAAACTTATTCGGTGAGTTCCTTGCCATTGCATTGATTAAAGACCTTTGTTGAGAAGTTATCTTTACGTAAGCATACATGTACAGTAATCATCTAGCTTTTCTGAAACCCTTACATGGTTTTTGGAAGCTAGAATATGATACACCCAAATTCATTGAAAATCTATGTTCTTTGCTTACTGGAAAATTAAGCTTACATATGTTAATTGTGCATAACATGACGAGTTCTTTGTTATCAGGGAGAAGTATTTGCAGCTTTGTGAGATGGTTGATGATGAAAAAGTTGATATCACAAGTACTGTTATCGATGAAGATGCTCCGTTGGAGGATGATGTTGTACGTAGCCTAAGAACCAGCCCTATGCATTCAGGGAAGGACCGGACTTCAATAGATGACTTCGAGATTATAAAACCAATTAGTCGTGGAGCATTTGGCCGTGTTTTTTTGGCAAAAAAGAGAACAACAGGGGATCTTTTTGCTATAAAGGTGACTTCAAACAATGATTTTTCTGCCATGCGTCTTGACTTCTCTACTTGTCTATTGTACTTTTAGCTGGGAACTGCTTTGCTTTATTAATGAATTTGTCATGTCTTGCACCTGTGTTCTATCACAAGCGTTATATGCTTTGAGACATTCTGTTCCATAGCATAAGAGCACTTCCCATTACAATTTAAAATTTGATGTGCTATTATCTTCTGTTACGAGTTAGAATTACATTACAGCTGTTATTAGTTCTTAGTAGTTTTTATTTTTGCTGGTGCATTTATGTACAAACAACATTGTACATGAGGTGCAGTTGTTTGGCTTCATGTGGAACAAGTAGTGATCCATAGTTTACTGCATCTTTGAATATGTGAAAAGCACTAACCCTAGGTCAGTGGTGTGTCCTTTTAGAAATGAATAAAGATGGAGTTTGCTTGCCCTAGGTCAGTTGTGTTTCCTGGTAAGTCCACTTAGGATTGTGTGGGTCATACACAGGTCTACCTTCCAAGGTCATTGCATGCATTACGAAGTCTCCTACCAAGATCTGTTATGAGTTGTAGTGAGTTGTCTGCCAAGATCTGTACATAATTGAAGTGATATTAACACTAACCTTTTTCAAATGCAAAGTAATTAATCATATGTTTTATATTTGGGTCGATTGCCATCTTTCTTGGGTGACACCTTTTAGTGGCTTCAAAATCTTCCAGGTATTCCAACATCTTATTGTCATCTTGTGTCAAGACAGTACAGGGTAGTCTCTGTTTTCCTTTTCAAATAATTACTGTGTAACCTACATGTAGAGGGATGATGACAGAGGATCATAGTTGCTACTTTTTAGGAAATATTATCTCTTAGACTTGTATATAGTTCCCTCTTTGGCTAGAATAAAATCATGGGAGAATAAGTTTATCTCTGCTTTCTTAAAAATCTTAATTAGTTACTTGCTTCTTTGCATTTATTATATTCTTTCTGGATTCATTTGCAGGTCCTTAAGAAGGCTGACATGATCCGCAAGAATGCTGTTGAGAGTATATTGGCAGAACGTGATATCTTGATATCAGTCCGCAATCCTTTTGTGGTAATGATGTTTAGCCTGCATCATATTGCCTGTTCTTAGAAATAACTATATTCCTCTTACTTTGAGCATCCTTTGTGCCAGGTTCGTTTCTTCTATTCTTTTACTTGTCGCGAAAATCTGTACCTTGTCATGGAATACTTGAATGGCGGTGATCTATATTCATTATTGAGAAACCTAGGCTGCTTGGATGAAGATGTCGCTCGCATATACATTGCAGAAGTGGTATTTTATTTATTTATTTATTTTGGTGGAAATATGGATGTTGATACATTGGTCATTATCAAATATGAGGTTAACATTTGTGCAGGTCCTTGCCTTGGAATATCTACATTCTCTACGCGTGGTTCACCGTGATTTAAAACCAGATAATTTATTGATTGCACATGATGGTCATATTAAGGTATATAATTTTATCTAGCTGGTTTTTGGTTATAAATAGTAAACATACAAGGGAGGGAGGTATATCCATCTTTCTTGACATGATAATATTTTTTGTAGCAAGAAATATCATCTTTAGTGATATAGCACTCATTCTTCTAAGGTTCATAAGACATGGCACTTGATAATATTTTCTAATGTGGTGCCTTGGCAATTACAATGGTGCACTAGGGGAAAAAGGTGAGCACCCCATGGTGTGTGGCGTTGCCATGATGCATTTTAATGGAAATGCATGGTTACTCTAGAGTCTTTGTGAGCTCATTTTTAATTTTCTTGAAAGATTAGATCTATAAATTTAATATCATTATAGAATTATTTACTAGAGCTACAAGTTAAACAAAAAAAAAAAAAAAAATTCAAACTACAATCGCATTAGCGCGTCTCCATTCATCTATGGTCACGACATGGGTTCTCTTCTATCTTTTGTGATGTATGCCATGTACTTCCTTTTTTCTGAAATTTCTTTTCTTCTCTCCATTCTTCCTCTGCCTTATTTTTTATTTATAGAAACTACCTAAATAGTTACAATCATTTTATTTCTAAAGTAACTTTTGATTTGGTTAAGCATATCAAAAATTTACATCAACCGAAACAAAGTAGGTAAAAGTAGACGCAACTACGAATTTTCTTATTTTTACTAATAAGAATGCAACATGTTTTCTAATTCTCATGACAAAGTTTACTTAAAAGTCAATGATACAAGTAATGTTATACTAAAATATTGTTTTTAGTAACTAATGATGATCTAATTTTTATTTCACCACTCCAAAAATGAATGATGTAACATGGTCATAGTTTGTTGTGTGTATATATATATACATCTATTAGTTTTTAGATTCTTTTGTTCAGGAAAATGTTGAGGTGATCATGATTGCTATGGCTAATTGGCTAATATTTGTTTTTAAGCTAAAACATAAAAAATGAAGGTTGTGGCCAATGGCACTCATGAAATGACTTGGACCAGACAACTCTTGTGTGAGTTAGGCATTTGGAAGTTGATTGTCATCTTCTATGAAGTCATCCAGTGGCTACCATCATGGTTTTCAAAATCGTTTGTGGCGTGCGCTTCAAGGCGCCTTAAAACTGCTATTGAGGCGCCGCTTGTCACTATCTTTGAATCGTATGCCTTGAGTATACAAGGCGGTGCATGAAGCTGTGAGGCGTATGCCTCCACTTTAACAGCTGTTAATATTATTTTGTTTTCACACATCTTTATCTTTATTTGCCGAGTCTTTATATTATCTCTAAAAATGGTCCCTTCAAGTTTCCACTTGTCACAATCCCACTTCCCACCTCCACTTTCTTGATATATTAATTTTTACTTTGTTGATATATTAATTTTTTTCTTTATGACTCATGACTCATGAGCTGTGAGCATACTAATTTTTAATATATATATTATTAATAGATTATTTCTTTTATTAATTTAGTATGATATGTATACGTTGTGTCTAGTACTGCAGTCTATGAACATATATATATATATATATATATATATGTTGTGTATGTTTTATGTTATAATGTGGCAGTGAAATAAAGATTGGTATCTGTATTTTTTGTGCAAGGTATATATATTTGTGTAGTATGATATATATTTATATATCTCCGCCTTGGGGCTTACGCCTTGCCTCGTCATGGGAAAACGCCTCGAGGCTCGATTTCGCCTTTGAAAACCATGGCTACCATAGTAGAGCCTCCAACCATCTCGCACATTCAAAATCTGGGATGAATCAGCTAGCCAACATTTTGATGAATTAATATGAGAACATGTAGACTTCGTCATTGAAAGGAAGCATCAAGCATGAGAGATGTCTAATGCCATCATTGGACCTCATACTACCTGAGTTGTCTGTTCATGATATAAGGGTGATTATTGCATCTTTTTTATGTGTTGACTTCATGTTGGTGTACAATGTGAAGTGCAGCAGTAGGTACCTGCTAGTGAAAGTACAGTGTATTGCATTATATTTTATAGTTTTGCTTGGCCTTTGTAATCTACTTTTCAATTGTTTGTCCCTTCCTAATCCATGCAAATATTCTTTTTACCATCATTCTTAAAGATTTATAGGATATTTTTGATGAATCACTTGAGAAATAATGATTCAAAATTACAAAAAGGAGTGCTCCTGCCGGCTTCTGTTATCTATTTTTATTGTCACATATTTCACATTGTGCATGAATTCACTTTGGTATACTGTCATATTTTTATCACTAACCATACATAATTCTGTCATGTTTGAGCAGTTAACAGATTTTGGGCTTTCAAAGGTTGGTCTGATTAACAGTACAGACGATTTGTCTGGTCCAGCAGTGAGTGGCACGTCTCTTTTGGGAGATAATGAATCTCAGTCATCTCTAACTGGGAGTCAGCATGAAAGACGTAAAAATCGGTCTGCTGTTGGTACACCTGACTATTTGGCACCCGAAATTCTTCTGGGAACCGGACATGGTTTGTTGACAACTTGATATAATACTAATTGCTTATGATATTTCCTAAAGACTTGATAAGATACCTTGTATATAGACTTGTGAGTGGGATATACTGGGTCATTTTTGGTTCTGGTTTGGATCTTGTAAAGACTTGCACCAAATAGCTTTACTTTAAACTTGACTATTACCGAAAGGATGTTTAATCTTTGACTTTCAGTTTTTTAGCGTTGTTGGCACTGTGTCATGTCATATTCTCATCATCCTGTATTATCATTCTAATTAATGTTGACCTTTTTTTTGCTATAAAAATCCACAATGGAACGTATTTGTCAAATAATGTGGTGCTTGACAAGGTCTACTATTGTTCTTTCATTTATAGTGCTACTATAGTAATAGTCAAAGAGCTTGATTCCTGCTTGCAGATACTTACTCTTGTGATGTGTTCACTGTTATCCAATGTCTTTTAGGTACATCAGCGGATTGGTGGTCTGTTGGTGTCATACTATTTGAGCTGATTGTTGGCATTCCTCCTTTCAATGCAGAGCACCCTCAGGTTATTGCCTTGTTTTGTGTTCTGGTTCCTTCTATTTCTGTCCACCTCTGTGCTTATTAACGATATATAGTATTACCTGAACGTTGACTGAAAAATGGTTTCATCTTGTGAAATCCCTCACACCATGTTTTGGGGATGCTTGTTTATCATTTATAGGAACTCAACTGTTCGCATGCAATAATTTTTTTTCACTCTAGATGCTTCAGAAGCCATCCATGCTGGAATTGGAGTGTGTGTGTATATATATATATATGCATATCACGTCGGCCACACACCCTTGCATTGACCGTTAGTGTTAAATCATATGTGATTTTGCACCTGATTTGGCCGTTTTCATGTTCAATGATTTAGTTACTGTTCTCGTTTGAACCTCCCTCTCTCTCTCTCTTTATATATATATATGTATATATGTGGTACACCCAACGTTCTTGCATTTTTTATTTCTGTCATTTTCAGCATCCATTTTTGCATTAGGTTCAGCAATTGGATAAAACAAAATCATGCCATTATACTGAACAACTTAAAATAGGTGTAATGTACTAATGTGAAATAATAAACACAAAAAAATGACTTGTGGAAGCAATTTGACGGAGGCCATCTCCAAATTGGGTTGATACTTTGCAGGAGTTTGTCCTGCTATTGCCTGTTCACATGCACCATACAGCATTGGCCCTAATGTCATGATTGTGCAGTGGGATTAAATTCTAACAGACAGAAGAAAAAACAGCAAACGGAACAATTAAATTAATGTGTAAATGAAAATTGGAACCTGCTCCTTTCCAGTGAACATGTCCAGAGGCACCATGCCACAATACAGCTTTAGAAAAGAATGGTGCAAACTGTTTTTGATGAAGTATTTATCATCTTTGTTGATGTACTACACCATGCAATTGGAATGCCATCGTGTATTGTCGAAAACATTATATTTTAGTGTTACATCATGGGACTACTTAAAAGTTGCTACCACTCTTCTGTAGATATGAATGACATTGGAATGCCTCATAATCAAATCTTTGGCACGCTATTTGTCCTTGTTAGTTTGCTAAAACTTAACGAGTTACGTTCTCTGGAAGTCTTGACACTTATATTCACTGATCTTCCTCGGAATTGGATCTTGTTTCTCCATCCTACCTTGCTTCCTTTAGATGTCGGTTGTTAGTTAAAATGTTGATTGTACTTGATAATGATTTTACCGAAAAGGATTAGATAGAAATGAGCATGTTCACACACTTCAACACTAGGTGTGCACTTTTTTGTATTTTCTGCTTAAAAAATACTTGTTGCATCGGTGGCCAAGACTCTTATGTCCATGTGAGTGCTCTTTGTTTTCATTATATTGACCATTCATGATGTTTTGTGTGAATTGACCTCCTGTGGTTGTGATCCGAGCTTTGCTTTTTGCTCCTTTTGTATTTTTCAGATGATATTTGATAACATTCTCAACCGTAACATACCCTGGCCTGCGGTGCCTGAGGAAATGAGTCTTGATGCCCAGGATCTCATTGATCAGTAAGACAGACTTCAACTTTTTTTTTCCTTTCTGCTGGAACTATTTGCATATGTGCTTTCTAATTTGTCCCAACTGTAACTGTTGATTTTGATGATTGATTTCCACATTTAGAGTCACTCAATCATTTGTTAGTTACTTTTATTTTACATAATTTTGTGGTGTTCTGTTATCACTTCATTGATCCTAATATATGTGCTCCTATGAAGACATTATATCTGGTGAAAAAGTCCTGTATATATAAACTACCATTTTCATATTAAGCTTGGTTTTTGTGTTTGCATTTGAAATTATGGTCGTTTCAATCTTCAAATATTGCTGTTACAATGTTACATGAAAAACGTGAGATTCACTTGTATGTGTTGGAAGTATCACATGCCTTGTTTTATAATTTGCGGCCTACTGACATAAATGTCTTCCGTGGCTAGCATTGTCACTGCATGCATACTTACATGAAATGTTAAATATTATTAAAGTCTTACGGCTGTTTGAATTAACTGTGTGTAATCATTGAACAGATTATTGACAGAAGATCCTAACCAGAGACTTGGCGCTAGAGGAGCAACCGAGGTTTAGTTGGTTCTTTAGCCTGTTTGACATTAGTGATGTGCACTTCAATGAACATGAAGCTTACTACTTTGGATACGTTTGGCTTGGTTTGGTTTTAGGTGAAGCAACACCCGTATTTTAGGGATATTAACTGGGATACACTTGCCAGGCAGAAGGTGCATGAGAATTCCATTTATTATATACACACACACACACACACGACATACTTGTGTTGTGTCCTCTGAACTGATGATGCCAATGTTATTTGTGTCAGGCTGCATTTGTCCCTTCATCAGAGAGTGCTTTGGACACCAGTTATTTCACAAGTCGCTACACATGGAATAACTCAGAGCAGGTATATGCAGCAAGTGAAACAGAGGATTCTAGTGACAATGGAAGCATGAGTGGTAGCAGTAGTTGCCTAAGCAATCGCAATGATGAAGTGGTCAGTAGCTCCTTAACTTAATACATACACATATGATATAATGACTAATTGCTTCTTTGAAATTTGTATGCTTTGACTGCCTTTAACAGGCTGATGACTTTGGGGGTCTTGCTGAACTTGAATCAGGATCTTGTGTCAACTACTCTTTTAGTAATTTCTCCTTCAAGGTATTGCGTTCCTGACTTTACAAATTATTCTCAGTACCATGCAATAAATGTTCATTTTGTTTATTATCAACTGTCAATGCTTTCATAGTTCATACATTGAAACCGGTTTTACTCGAAATCAATGTACTATCTGAGAATAGCATTCAAGTTCGCTATGCGTTCACTTTATGATGGCCAAAAACAAAACTGTTGAACTTGAGCAGTCAAGCTGAAGAGTATCTCGAAATAGGGGGGAAAATCTGTTACCACCAAATTAAAAATGTTCATAGTGGTAACAGATTTTCTACCAGGGGTTTCATGTGAGAACCGCAAATATTTTGAGAACCAGGCAAGAAATTTTATAGTGTGTATTCATCAGTAAATATACGCTATACAAATTTTCATCAAAAGATATGTATTGTCAATGAATATATAATATACATTTATTGATGGTGGATACATTCACTTGTATTTTATATTCTATCGAGTGTATTCAATGAATATGCACAAAAAATGTAGTTCCCTGGTTCTCAAAATATTTGTTGTTCCCATTTGAACCGGGCTCTATTTTATATTACTAGTTACCAAGTATCACAGTGTTGCATAAAAAGAACAATATACTAGTTTTGACTATATCTTCATACGCTATTTGTTAACATGGTATGTTCTTTTATCTTTGCTTCAGAATCTATCACAACTTGCATCAATCAACTATGATTTGCTGTCCAAGGGGTTGAAGGATGATCTGCCTACAAATCCTAATCAGTAGTTACCTGGATCTCCCTTTCAATGATACAGATAGATAGATGTTTGTTTTATACAGATGGACATCATGTGGGCTTTTATCAGCTTTGTTGATTGTATATCCTGTAAATGTACGTCTGCTCGTCTTTCATCATATATATATATATATATATATATATTTCCAAAAGTGATGAGATGTTTCTTTGTTTTGTTTCAGAGATAGAAGAAGTAGCTCAAACGGAAATACCTGCAGACAGATGGATTGGCTTTTTCCGTAAAGCATGTTGTGCCTAAATATACTTGAATGATGACAAACGACGAAATTAGAAGCTGTCCTCTTTGTCATGATCATCGAGAACACATGCTATTGAAATTTTGAATTTTTAATTGAATTCTTCGTGAACTTTTCCTCATTCCCCAGATGTTTTAACATCCGAAATTTCTTGTAAATGGTATGTTTGTAATTTAATGTTGCATGAGTTCAACTTGGTTCCTTTGAACACAATCTGTTTCAGTTTTTAGTGCTTCCACATTAGAGTGATGAAATCTGTCCATGAAATTATGCTTCCGGAAAGCATTTCTTTCTGCTTTGGCTTTTTGGAAACAACTCTACTATTAGGGGTGGAGGGTCTGGTATATGATGTCACACCCCCCGACTCTAGCTCCGGGTGGGATATGGTCAGGGAGATACTTGACTGGTTACATGTTGGTCTAGCTTCAGATGGGATATACTTGACTGGTTATATGTAGGGGTGTACAGAAAATCAATTGATCCAATTGGAACCGACTGATTCAATTAGAACCGACCGACCATAATTGGATGTCCAATTATAATGGGTTTGGATCGGATTGAAAAGTTCAATATCCAATTTGGATCGGCCGGTTCTTTATCCAACTATCATCAATTGATTTATTTTCAAATTGCTTAAAGCGGAATTTGTTTTATGTGAGGTTTTGAATTTTTAACTTCCCTTGTGTTAGTTTTAACACATTAAAAGTGATTAATTAATTCATACCATTGTTAGAGAATTGGATTTAGAGAATTAGATTGAATTAACACACCGGATGAATCCAATCTCATCGGATCATCCATTAGATATCCAATAAAAGTATCTAATATAGATGAAATCGAACCGATCCAATCATCCAATGGTTCCCCTCACATCCAATAAATGTCAACAGATGAACATGCCTAGTTATATGTTTCTTCTTATATTTGCCATAGTGGTGCGGTTGATCTTATTCAACTGAATTATAGGACTTGAATATGCCCTTGCTCCGGCCAATATATTGGCATGGATCTCCTGATGTACAAACCATACAGGGTGCTTACCTATCTATCGTGACGTTTATACAACCTCATGATTCATGCAAACAAATCTCAATGTAGGTATGCATTTTGATCTGCTGTCATCTCTTAACAAACCATATCAGTAAAAGTACTGAATATCGATCCACATGAAAGACTTGTAATAGTCTTTCAAAAGTTCAATCTTTAAAAAATCAATATCCAATGCGAAATCGCGGAATTTGTCAACTAGAAAAAAGCAGTTGTAAAAAAGAAGCAAAAGGTGCAAACTTTTGTTAAGACAAAAATAAATGATTCGGTAGAAAAATATTATAGTACAACTGCACAGTCCAATAGTAACACAAGATATTGCTATTGTACTGTCACAATATCCAACTACTGGTTCAGACGACCTCCCAAGAGTTCAACTGCCCCACCGCTAACGATACAACATCATTTATGTTAAATGTCGTGAATCCTAGTGTGACATAGTATTGCCATCCTACACCGCATAAATATAGCACTTGTCAGGTACTAAAGTTCTATATAACCTTACAAATTTCACATTTATCGTAGCTTTTAAAGCTAACACATTTTTATACATATAATTAGTTGTCAATTAATTATTTGCAATCTTCAGTTACACATTGGTAGCCTAAATGAATAGTTAGATGAAAATGCTATATTTAAGATACCTTTCCAATTTCACATCGGTTTGGGTCTTAACTTTCCCTTCCACTCCAAGCTAAGACGATTAGTCCATCATCACTGAGATTCTTCTTGCAAAAGATGTAAGTACTAAAATGTAAATGACGGAAATGGGAAGTACTTAACGTAACTAAAGACGAGAAATAAAACTTGGCACGCAAGTTACTGACTTGTAACGTAAAAAACTGAAATTAATTGCTAGGAAATGTAAATGATAGAGATGAGATTAGAATGTAAAGTATTGTAATATAGATGACAAATAAGGTAATGCGAAGCTCAGGTTTAGTCTCTCAGCTTCTTATAGTAATTTCGGTCCAACTGCTCAAATCCCGCAGGATCATAAAGGATTGACCAAAATTTAAAAAAAAATGATTTAAAGCCTAATTAACATAAACATCCAATAAAATGCCAAACTTTTATGCTAAGCTTCAAAAGTAATAAAAGTGTAAAACACAAGACTAAAAGACTCATATGGGTGTGTAGATTTTTTGAAAAAAAATTGTAACCTTAAAAACACGGGGGGAAATAATTTTAGGTTACTTATTTTAGAAAAGCTTTTTTTTTAAGAAAAACACTAAGTTGGATGTAATAACAATTTAAAAATGAATTTAAATAAACCATAAGGTGTTTACCTTTTAGATATGATGTGGATTCTTATGGAGCATTGCCAGATCCCAGTTCTCTCACACTGTGAATAGATGTAAGAACTTTGGAGTGGAGGAAGACGATCTATTGCTTGGGTTATGAAGATTTCATGAGCAACTATGAGTATTTAAGAACAGGCTGTAGCTATCATCATCTTCATTGACATATTGAGGAAAAAGCTTTGATTACATTGCAGATATCCAAAGGGAATCACATAGTAAGTAATCAAAAGCTTGCTAATAGGATTACCTAATAGAATGCAGTCAAGCAACTATTTATAACCGCCTAGAGAACAAAGTCAAGGCACCGACGAATCACAGTCTGCCATGTGTAAAGTGAAATAACTGTCTCTAGGTGGCATGTCCAATCAAGAGCCTCCATGTATCAGTTTGTTAGGCAAGAGTTGACTGGACAATAGCTGATGTCTTAAGCAATCCATCAATAGCTGAAGACCAGAAGGGGTTCCAGAGAGGTGCTATTCATAGACTAGAGGGACTCTTAATCAGTAGGTGATCATCAAGTTTCGTATCTTTGGTTCTTCATGGCCTATCTCTGGTTTGCTTCATCGAGCTCTAGTCTTCAACACTTGAACCATTTTACAGTACTTTTACAAATAGGAATTCTGGGGTCTAACAATCTCCCCCTAAGTATTGAAAAATGAATAAACCAAAGTATAAAACAAAAGAACCAAGAGGATGTGAAGTATCCTCTGTGCCAAACGACTTCACTATAAAGATAGAAAATACAGTACTTGAAAGGAAAAACTACATCTCATTTGGGGTCACTATTATAGGTTATCTAGAAACGCATCATTAGTTTCCTATAGTTAAGTATTGTAGAGATCCCATGGATAAGTTCGTTTCCTTCCTATCGAGGCACATGTCGTCTGTCCAACCTTTTATTGACTACCTTTTGAAACCAAGCAAGTGTATCATTTGAGTACTTGAATGCTTTAGTCAATCAGAAGAACTTATCTTATTGGAACTCATCTTTGTAAACAAGTCCTAGTTTCGGTTGAGATAGTACAGAGGCAGAACGAAAGTTTTCAAGTCCTTCAAAGGTCTCATTTGGAGCAGTGCAGGACATTTTCTTAATACCTAGTTCCAAGGAAATTTGAAGATCGTTCTTTGCCTGAACTTTACCAAGGTCCTCATTACCTCAACAATTGATCTTCGAGCAACCGCAAATCGAATCCCTTAATCCATACATTGACTAGCATGAGCACATAAATCAATTAAGTCCCATGGGTTCAGATTTATGAGATCACTGTCATTGAAGACCTAGATCCTCCCATGTGCCCTCTCAATGGTGTATTCAATGTAGCTTATGGCTTTGTTTGCATATGACTTTAGCTTTATGTCTACGACAGTTTTAATTCCTTCTTCAAAAAATACCTCATAAGGAGGCTGAATGTGCTATCTTATGAACCGATGTATGATTAGATCCATAGCCTCTAGGGTAAGATTTTTTTTGGGGGGGGGGGGGTTCATGAGAACCTGCTCATCCTGATCATAAGGTACTGATGAATGTTTTCCATCATCAATGATTTTCTTGGAGGTGGCTCTATAAGCTGTCTTGGAGACTCTATCTGAGTAATAACATCTTGGACTCTATCAATGGAGGGTGGTTTTTTGGAGGTTGAGGGAATATCAGAGACCTGTATGCATGTCTCAGGAGCAATGGAAGCTGTTGGTGTATCAGAGACTGGAATTTCATCGGTGGGCTCTAGCTCTGTAGTTGGCTTTGGATGAAGAATGGGAGAGACTGGTGGTGTACAAGTATGATCTTTAGGACTTGGTGGTGTAGAAGGAGCAAAAATCTTGAAAGCTGTGACTCTAGGGCAGGTTTAGAGCTGATATTTATCGGTGTCAAAGTCTCTTTGCTTGCGAAGGGTGATGGCTCTGTAGATGATAGATCTGATGAAGGAAGATGAACCTCTGAGATTGCAATTGCCTTGCTGTCGGGGTAGCTGCAGTCACAGAGGGGTCATAAGTAAATTGAACAGAAGTGATACTAGGTGTGCTTAGACTATGTACATTAATTACATCATTAGAGGTCGCAACCTCTGGTTCCCCAACCTCTATACTAATATTTACAGTGGTAGTTGATGGTGGGGCAGCCGATGAAGAAGGTGGTGATGTTGATGATGGAGCTGTGGTAGTGGATGGTGTTGCTGCAGTGGTGGATGGTATCTCCCCCTTATGAGGATCAAGACCCTGATCATCTGGGTCTTTGTCTTCAGAACTCTGCTTCTTAGATATTTCTTCATCATCACAAAAGGCAGAAGATCTCTTCTTCTTCTTCTTGTGGAAAGAAATGTAAAATTGGAGGGCCATCTTCCTTATGTCTTCTTTAATTCTTTTTAACAATTCCTTGTTGTGAGCTTGTTGTTGTGAGATGGAAGATTGTACTATAACAATAGGTTCACTGGCCTTCTTAACAAATTTGGTGTTGATTTCAAACTTTTGTATCATAGACTCTTTGAATCCTTGAAGATCGGCTCGAGAGACCAGTGATGATGAAGTGGAAGAAGATGTAGAGACGAAGGAAAGTAACTCCCTGACCTCTGCTGTGAAGGATGAGAAATTGGCAGTAGTGATGGACGGTGATGTAGGTGCAGCAGCAGGGATTAGACTCCGGAAAACTTCAGAAAGAGATGCGATAGAAGCATCAATTACAAAAATTTAAGCAGATAAGGTCTCAAACTTAGTGACCATAAGGGAGTTGGTGGAATTGTTATGCTAGGTCACCAAGGTTTGAAGTTGCTGGAGACGAGTGGTGTTGTCTCTTGTCTGGGCGTCCATGCACTAAGGGATTGCTGAATACTTGAAATTATGGCAAGTTGTATGGATACAGAAACC